GCCCAGCAGACCAAGCTTTTACCATAATTATAATGCGCGTAAATTTTCTGTCCATTCCTGCTATTATCCCTTCATGTGCTGGCAGTATCTTGAAATAATGATAGTAATAAAAAAAGAAAACTAAACAAACAATAGCCCTTATATTACGTTAAATAACGTGGGAACAGTGGTGGATTTCGTTGGAGCCTTTTGGGAACGGCATTGCCAATAACTGCGCGTTTTAACACTGTATAACATAACTCGAGCAGCGCGCAACGTTGTCAAGTGTAGCGTAGCTTACGCTGTGCTCCAACGTTTTCCACCACATGAGACTAAGAGTAAGTGCAAATGAAACGCGAGACGAAGCCTGCAACCTCTGCCAACAGGCATGGGCGTACCAACCGGGAAGGGGGGGGGGGGGGCGCTGCCCGCCCCCCCCAGCTCTCAGAGTGGGGGGGCAAGGCATGTGTTTTGCACCCCCCTCCCCCTTTAAACAGCCGCCACTGGGCAGGGCAAACACTGGCCGGCGGCGCCCAAGGGATACAAAGGGCACCGTCCCTCGGCTCTGGGGGCAAGAGGGGGGGAGGGGGCTGGTTTGCCCCCCCCCCCCCCCCCCCCCCCCTCAAAAGCAAGTTGGTACGCCACTGCCAACAGGTCCCATCGCCACGAACGCGATGTTTTTTTTTTTTTTCGGAAGCGAAAGCTATAGACCTTACCGGATACTCGAGATGAACTGCAACGGCAGGACGTTATGAAAAACTTGGCCTCAGTCGGTGCTTTGTTAATAAAAAACGACCGTAACTACTGTGTGAATTGTATTGATTATTAAACCAACGCTTTGCGATGTGTTAGTAAATAGCAGTGTGTACCTAATAGGAAACCCATTTCACTTGTTATGGTGTACCTGTGTACGAACCGCTTCTTATAATTTGTTTCTTTTGATTACTCTCATAGAATCAGATGAAACTGTAAAATCCTTCTGGTTGCTAATTACCTGCCGCGTCCCACGCACAAAGCCTTATTGGCTTATGTGGATACAGAGCGAAATGTATTCAAAAAGAAAATAAATTGTATTGTATTGTATTGTATTGTATTGTGCGGAACAAAAGTTGCGGACCTGAAGGAAACTACTTGTCAAAGGGGATCTTGTCTCGCGATTGACAGAGCCTACACTCTGGTCAAACTCAAGTTTCACGGACTTCTCCCGTGAAAGGGGGGTCCGAAATCGTCTGCGTGAATCTCAGAGAAGGAATGACGGTGGATCCAGGGATTTATTCAGTTGGACACTGCCCCCTGGGCAGCAGTGACGGTGAGAACGCCGGTCGCCGAGATTGGGCAGAGCCGTGCTTGATCTTGGCGATGGCCGTTAGCAACGGTCGGATGTCTTGCCGATTGTCCCAGCATCGCCAATCGAGGGGGTTTTACACCTTTCTGGGGCGGACAACACAAGGCGCCTTGTGTTGTCTTACATCGTATTGGTTCTTGTTGTTTTCGGCGCTTGAATACGTTTTAAACTATGCAACCACAAGCACAATGCGGAGTGCCTGTCGTACGCTTCTTGTGCAGGGGTTGAGAGTGACGTCAGAACAACGCCGAGCTCTGATTGGCTCTGGTTGGAAGGATAGTGGGTAGACCTCAATGCTAGATGACTTGGGGTCTATCCACTATTTTTTTACAATCAGCCAATAAGAGCTCGGCGTTCTGGCATCATCGCAACCCCTGTGCAAGAAGCAAACGAACTTGCGCTCACTAACCAATTTGAGTATATCCATAGGTTTGTATGCATTGGTGAAGAAAACTTGGGGCGGGGGGGGGGGGGGGGGTGAGGAAAAGGGGGGGGGGGGGGGTTTGAACTCATCTTGGGAGTGTGTTATGACGCTGTTGGGGAGTTGAGTATAAATTTCTGCGGTCTCACGCTGTCTAAACATTTGAAGTTGCCTTCATTTTGGGGAAAGGCGTCCACTCGCTTAAATCGAAATACCGATTTCACGAATACAGAGAGCCGGCTGAGAAGCTTAGATTGACAAGAACAAAGAAATCGATATCTACATTAATAACATCCACAACATCAAGTAGTGTGTTGTCTACCAAAAGATGTTAAATGGCTGTCTTTGCATGGATACAACCACAGATGTCATGTCTAGATTAGACGACAATGGTTGGTTAGAAGAGGAAGAGCTAGGGTCATGAGTGATTGAATCCGCTCTCAATTCGACGCGTCATGTAAACGCAGCCAGTGCCCGAACTCGTGTTACCAAGTCATCTGGCCATAAACACACCCGACTGATTTACTCTTACGCCGAGTGTCCTAGAAAGCATTCGATAATTAATTGGACAGGGGTCGTCCGCAACGTGTCCCAAAAGAGAACGTTTTCTGCTAACAAGGCTCCCGACCCGTGATTCCGATGCTCTACTAGTCACAACAACAACCACCAATCACAGCATAGCAGTCCCAAGTCATGTTGTCGTCTGCTACCAGTAGAGAAAGGAACCGCCGGTAACAATGCGCTTCGTCTCCCAAAGTGTATTCCGCTCCATAGAGTGTAATCCAAAGTGGCCGGCGCACAATGGCAAAGAAGGGTGGGAAGGTCATTGGCGTTATCGCTTTCAGAGACTCCCCTCTCTCGTTCCTCTTTTTTTTTTTTTTTTTTTTTTTTTTTTTTTTTTTACCCTTTGCGCTGTATTTCTAGTTCCATTCGTTGACGTACACTCATTTTGACAGACGATGCCTGCCCTGCTTCTAGACCCCGGATCATCTTACGATGAACCGCCACAGACATCACGGGCCATCTCCCAACCAATCAAGCGCTGTGAACATACCACGTGACTGCGCGTTCTGTGCCTAATGGACCTCTTCCCAGTAGGCTTCTGCGCATGCGTACACACTGTGTGGGGCATAGACGAAGAAAAAAAAAAAAAAACGATACAACGGCCAGAGACATGTTGGACTGTTCGTATACGATGCTCATCCAGACCGAAACGGGCAGGGGCTGGAATTGAATCGCGTGTGGTTTTACACCATAGTCCCATAGATTGAACCCAGGATCTCTAGGTTAGGTTCTGCAGCGGGAGCTTTCAATTCCCCGCGGTGCGTCCCTCCTGGAGGTCAGGTGACCCTCCCATGGCTTCGGATTGGATTGGATGACTCGTAGAGTCTACCGCGGTCCATCGCAAACTGAAACGGAGTACGGAGCGCTCTGAGCTACGCTCCCCATCCATTGTACGCTCCCTTTCGAATCGGGAGGATATCTTATTGATCTTTTGTATCTTATTGATCGGGGGGGGGGGGGGGGGGGGGGGATTTCCTGGGGGTTTGGTGGAGGGGTATACGCCCTGTTCCCCAAAAGTTTCCTTCCCCGCCTGCAGAATACCCATGCACCCCCCCCCCCCTCCCCTCCCCCGCCCCGCCCCGCCCCGCCCATCAACAACGCCGTTCTCAGTTTTCGTTTTTAGCTTGCCATTTCATCTTCCACAACATGTCCGAGTGTTCGTTTGGAGTACTTGTGGTTTGATCTTGTTAGTTAGAGAGAAAGAGAGGGTGGATGCTGAAGAGGCGTCAAGATCGAGAGATATATGAGCTAGACGTGCTCAGAGCCTACATTTGTTGAATGTTGGGGGGGGGGACAAAGATTGCTAAATTCATTTTTATTTCTTACTATTTATTTATTTTAACTTTAGTGTTTGCAGACGATTTAGGCGTCTGCTGAAAGCAAACGCAAACTTTAGCGTGTAAAGGAAGTCCGTTTGGTCAAAGAAAGTAAAAGAAGATTGACGAATGTTAGTTTATGCAACTTAACAATGACTCGAACGCTGCGGTCCCCTCGAGTCAATCAGAGGGACGGAGGGAAGCACGTGACAGCTCTCCGCAGGTAGATACGCGCGTCCTCCTTCTTGAGAGTTGCAGGAGTGGAGGGTTTTGTCAAGTGCATCCCGTTTATTTAGCTCACTGCAGGGCCGTATGCTTTCGCCGTCTGACAAGTTATTATGAAAGGGAGTATCGAAGTGCCGCTTTCCAAGGTGTCCGCTTGAGCTGGAGAGTCAATTGGCCGATGTCAGTCATCTCAAAATTAGACGAAAGAATAAATAAATAAATATATAACTGATGTAAAACAGTGGCTTGGCACGCTCCCACGGGCAATGTGCGTTTCACGTTATGGCGTGCGTTTGACGTACCGCTCGGTGTCTTTTGTGCGTAAATACCGGGTTGCTCATTGTGAGTTGCATAACAACCTCCTCGTGTGTCTGTATTTGTCCCTCTGCAGAAAATTTATTTATTTATTATATTTAACCCGAGAGGGTACCGCGTCAGGAGAAACATGTATGCATTCTTTTGTTCTGGAATCTTTTTTGCAATGGGACCGTCTCGTTATGCAACGTGTGACGTCCTAATAAATATTTTATGCGTGTAATTTACTACTATGATGCTCATCTGAAACTGCGGGGTAATTTATAAATGAGAAAAAAAAAAAAAAACATGCGCAACGACCGGTTGAATTTTCCGAACTCAGTTTCCGTAATAGAATAAAAGTAAAACTGATGTATTAAACCCTGGAGCGACGTGAAAAAAGGACGGACAAACGCAAAACCCAGTTGAGTTCTGTGTCCTTCCCGCTCTTGCTTCAGTCTCAGGAAAGTGAAGTTTTCACAAAAGTCACAGTTAGCCACAGACAGCTTGAAAGGCGTACTGAGTTTGTTTGTGTACAGTTAGTACAATTCGAGCGTCTACAAAGAGGCGGACATTCCCTTTACGGGGAAATCGGAAATGTCCGCCACATGAACGAAATATGTGCAGTTTAAATTTCGCGCTAATAAATCTTTTTTATGTTTAGTGTTTATACTAGTAGATGGCGCTACCAACAAAATATTTTTAAATAGTCAAAATACGCAGCAACGTTACTTATTGCCGCAAAATAAAATAAAACTCTATTTAAACATCGTGATACGTGTTATGGTATTTTCCTGTAATTCTCAAAGTTACCAAATGTTTAGTGGCGCTCCAATCGAACAAAATGACAAGATGGCGTCGACAAGTTCCCAGCGAAAAAAGTAGCAGACAACCTTTGTGCCAAACTTCGGCGGAATGTCTCACGTAAGCGATGAACCAAACTGATGCTCCGTGTAAAATTTTGAGATTTTTTAGTAGTTTTTTTTTAGCTTCTGTAACACAGCCATCAGGAAGCGTTGCGCTAAACAAGTTGTCGATGCGAAGTACAAGTTCTGAGTTATCCGATTCAAACAGCCGTTGTCTGAAGGCTTCTCAATGCTCTACATCTCGCTAACCTCATGAACAGAAGGCGTTATTTATTGGTACCTTGGCGACGCGGCGATGTTTTTAAATCGTTCAAATTGAACCAAGATCGTTTTGTTCACGAGAAGCCATAAGTTGCTTAAATAAAAGTGTGTCTTCTCACTTTACGATCGCAACAGGTTATGAAACGGTACACATGACGAAATTGTCAGAAAAAAATCATAAACTAGTGTCATTTGTGTCTTCTGCTACGCTAAACATGGCTCCTGCACTTCAAACGTTCGAAACTTATGTTAATTGTGTTCGTATTAAACAAGAAAGAAAACGCCGAGTATGTTATCTCGAAGATAAATATCGTTATCTTTGTGTGACTTATAGCGCCGATGGACTAGGAGGATGTTGCCTGCACTCCAAAATGACGGCTTGGTGATCTAGCAGACGACGTTTCACAATGGAGTCGGTCGGCTTGACGACGGCTGAAGCGCTGCGTCGTCTTCACAAGTGTCTCAAAGAGGAACTGGACATCTTCAGAGTAAGCCAGCAGCTTATAAAAGTTTCTACGTCAATTCATTTTCTAAACACAAAACTCGAAGTCTTTTTTTTTCTTTCTTTTTTTTTTTTTTCAGAGCAAGGAGAGAAATTCAGTATGGCTGAGAAAAGCTTTTCATCACGAGAACCCACATTCCGTCTTCCGCTGGCCAAGTGCTCTTCTCCTGGTCTTCGAAGTCGTTGCATTTGTAGTTGCATACTCCCTCGGAGGGTTTGTATATCTGCTCTTCGACGTCGCCACTTCTTAATTTCCTTGAGAGAGCATTTTCGTTCCTGTCACATTATTTGAATTGACGATACATAAGCCTTTAACCAATGACATCTCACAATGTATTCACTGTAGAGAGGTGTTTGACGTGCATCACGCATTAGTGATCATATGCCAGCATGTTGTCTTTGAACTAGGAAGTCGTTCTACGCTATGTCACATGTACTTTTACGGTTTCTAGAAATACTGCTCTGCTTGCCCCGTAAGTGACCAATTGCGTTTAGCTCAATTTCTCATAAAATTCTTGGTCATGCCTCCAGCACAAGCTTTTTATCTTTGATATCACTTCAACGTCTTGCAAGCTTCAAGCATGAACTTGCGCACTCAAAGCACCATGTTAGGTAATGAGTGCATGCTGGAAGCTGGGCATTCAAAAGAAATGTCCCGCTCTTTTTTGTATTGTCAGTAACTGTATGTAATCCCGTTCAGCTAAACTGTTTTTGGAATTTGCGGTCAAAATGTTTTGCACCATTGTATGATGTACTGCGGTCTCAGGGGTGCCGTCCTTGTTGGAGACTCGCTGTTCCTCTGCTGCGTCCTGGCGCTCAATCTCGTCGTCGTTGGCTGGGATGCCAAGCTACATCAGGTGGAGATGCGGAACCGTGCTGACGCGCTTGTGGACACGCTCGCAAGTATGTAGCCCCTTCTTTGTGTGCCTTATGATTTTGAACGTGTGTCCTCCTGGACAAACTGAAGACGGCGTTATAGGAGATAGAAACCAAGTGTTTGTCCCAGCTGACTGTGAGCGCACTTTCTGTGCACCGGTCAATTGTACAGTTATGGACGCGGGGACATAGTGTTTGTGTAGCAGTTTAGGTAACGAGAGACCTATGTTTGTGTAACAGTTTAGCAAACAAAAATCTAGGCCTCAAGAAGTGCCCATTTAGGCAACGTTTGGGAACACTAGTGTAGCAAACAGACTTTGGGAAGCATTAGTAGCATCAGGAAGTACTCATATATTGCAGGAGGCTATTTGTCGTGAAGTACCAGTTTAGGAAGCAGATCTGTTGGCATCAGTAAGTAGCAACTCGAGAACCGGATAGGTAGTGCATCTACAGTGCAGGCTTATGCTCGTTATTCCGACTTCGGAGTGTGAGGTGGGGACTGGACGGACACAAACACAAAGCTCCAAACACACTGCAGAGTTACAATGTCTGTGTCAATCCAGCTTCGATGTGGCCTCAGTTAGTCGCTGGATCCTGGGAAAGTAGAGCCAAGCTCCCCATATGGTTACCATCTTGGTTAATAGAATGAGCAGTTTCTTCGTGGCATCTCTATTCTTGGTGAGCCAACCTAAATTCGCTAGTGACAAGTAGCTTTATAGAGACGTCTTTCGTATACCGAGATTTTGCTATTCATACACCAGTGAAACAAGTGTACATCTTTGTACTGCCACCATATTCAGCGTCGGTGCTTGGAGGCTTTGAAAAAAATTTTATTGTCTTGAAATACTCAAGAGGAGCAATATCATTGGAAGGAATCTGTGGAGATAAGCATGATTGATGAGTTGACTGCTTACACAGTGCCAAAGATGCCTGTATTGGCGAGGAACGCTTTCAGTATGATGATGCTCCATAGCAATCTTGGAGTGGCTTGTTTAGACCGAAGCTTTGAATATTAGAATGGACCGAAATGGCGATTGTCATGGCAACTGAGACTAATCAGCCTACCACCTTGCCAGGGTTTGTCGTCTATATGTTAGTATTTGTTTGTATCCGGATAGCAGGCCAGGAAGGCAATGGCCGGGGAAACTAAAGTCACCGGATCCTTCCCAGGATCTGGTGACTTTAGCCTCAGTAGGTTTTGTGCTATTAAAATTATAACGAATGAGACGAACCATCTTGCCTGCATACTTGCTCTTACTTGCCACATTATTAAGTTTTTAATTATCATTGTCAATATTGCCCAGGCTGCTTGGGGAGTGGCGACAGCCCGGTGTGGAACATCGAGGACCATGCTCCGCTTTTCCAACCGCAGTCGCCATGCATCAGCCTCCAGTGGGCCATCCGCGATGGCGTCCTCGTCAACGTCCCTGTTCAGCTGCTGGTCGAAGGCGACGTCGTTGTTATCAGGCCCGGTCACCAAGTACCAGGACGCTGTTCTCTCATTACTAAGGTATGATGGTTTTTTCGGCCTCCCATTAAAAGTGTGGTATCTCGGGTTGTTCTAGACTTGGTCTGGAACAGTTGGTGAGAACACTAACATTTTATTTCGTTAACTGATTATTACTTGGCCAAATTTATAATAATGATGAAAGAGCGTTGTCGGCGTTTATTCAGGCCGATGGTCCCATGCCGTCTCGCTGCTCACTCCGTCTCGTCTTTCTTTATTCCTCTGTCCGACTTCTTTTTAAACCCTCGTGCTGAGGGTTACCTCGCGATGGCGTGAACTGGTGGAATCGCGAGGCAATACGTCAGCCAGATGAGACAGCAGTATTGGCAGTGCTATGGGGTGATTGCCAAGATGTTGTCTAATGTGGTGCAATGGATGTTGCGCGGACTTATGTAAGCGTGCGGCAACATTCGTCGACGACGCAGCACTTGAGCCGGGTAAGGTAACATGACGCTCTCCGGGGCCGCTCGATCGAGTGGAGAAAAGTTCTCTCGGGAGCCGCTGGGTCGGTGCGTGCGTACGTGACCACAAAAGTATCTGCAAGACACCAGCTGGAAGTCCTGGAGGATATGCGAGACACCAGAAAGATGTTGGCAGGAGGATGTTTGACAACAGGAGGACATCTTCCTGAAAGGATCTGGAAGACACCAGATGAACATCATCCTGAAAGGATGTGGAAGACACCAGATGGACACCCTTGCAGAGGATGTCTATAGCATTCAAGGAATGTCCCTCTGGAGAAGGGTGGAAGACATCCTCTTGGAGGATGTCAAACACACCAGGGCTAATTTGCTGATCAATGCGGGTATCTTTCCCGGCGGTTAACTCACCTGCAAAAGAAATTTTGAGGTCATGTGACCGGCTTTGTGGAAAGTATGTAGCGTTCCAGCCGATTCGGCTTGGTAGACGCAAGCCTTGCCTGTTGTTTTCTTTAATTCTTGCTTAACGTAGCCTTCCCCAGAATTAACTTTACCTTGCACTAAAGTACATAAAGGCGATTAATTTCACTTAGCTTTCAAGCATGTTCATCCTTTTTCTGCTGCGCACAAAATCGGACTTGAATAATCGAAGTAAGGACGGACTCATGGCAGCCATTTTCCTGGAACGCTACATACTTTTAGTTTTTTGTCCCCACGGTGTTGGTCGCATGACATCAAAATCATCCCTCATTTGGGAATGAGTTATAACCGCCAGGAGAGATGCAGCTGCATTGATCAGCGAACCGACCTGGGTAGGCGTCTTTCTCTAGTACATGGAAGATACCAGACATACGAGCTGTAGCAGAAAAGTAATGAGACTGGCAACACTGTGTACGAACCGACAATGGTGCTGCTTCTCCTTTCACGTGGCAGTTGGGTTAACTCCTGATGTAGACTTAGTATAACTTTGAACTTGCTACAATTGCTACGCTATTGTTGAGAGCATCTCAAGTAAAGTTGTGTTTGTGAGGTGCGTTACAACAATGGACCAGCAAAATTTTTAGCAACTTTGTGCCATCAAATTGAAAACTAAATTAATGCTCATTTGTTTTTTTGACAGTCAGGGGATCGTCCACAAAAAATTTGTGTTTCCAGGACAAACTGTCAAATCAAACATTTTTATTGGGAATCCTTGAAAAGCTCAGGAAGAGGTGTGACCCGTGTGCGGCTTTGTACGCACTTGGACGCTGCACCTCGACAATTCGCCATGTTACACGGCAATCCTCATCTATGAATTTTTGGCAGAAAAAGGCATTCCTGTGGTTCCCTAGCCTTCCCTATCTGCCACATCTCAGTCCTTGTGACTTTTTTAATGCGAAGGTATTAACTGTCTCATGGAGCGAACCGGCGTTTTTTATTCCCCCGGCTCAAAGACCACCTGAAAGGGCACCATTTTGGTACTTTGGATAATATCCAGAAGAGTGTAACCGACGAGCTGAAAGGCATTCCAGCAGAAGCCTTCCAGCACTGCCATGCGCGATGGAAACAGCGCCTCCCTGGTTGTGCGGCTGCCCAATGGAACGACTTTGAAGGGGATAACCTTGATTTTTTTTAAATAATAAAATTCATGGTTTAAATAAAATCAGTCTCCTTACTTTTCTGCCATACCTCGTATGTTCTAGTAGGGAATCCTAGTACCAAGAGAATGTCCCTCTAGAGAAATCTGGAAGACATCCTCTCGGTGGATGTGAAATATACCAGGAAGGCATCTTCCTGCAGAGCGATGAAGATACCAGACATTTGTCCTAGTAGGGGATGACCAAGACATCAAGAGATTGTCCTCCTAGAGAAGCCTGAAAGACTTCCTTTTGGTGGATGTCAAATATTCCAAGAGGACATCTTCCTGCAGAACATGGCAGATACCAGACAGATGTCCTAGTAGGAAATGTCCAAGATAGCAGGAGAATGTCCCCCTAGAGAAGCCTCGAAGACATTTTCTTGGTGAATGTCAAACATACCAGGAGTGCATCTTCCTGCAGAATGTGGAAGATGCCAGACATATTCTAGTAGGGGTGACCAAGACACCCAGACAATTTTTGTTTCGGCTTCAAAAGAAATGTAGGTAGGTTGTGTTTTCCCAAAATGGATTGAATGAATGACTTACTCCAACTGCTAGTTTAGTCTGATGATGTCCAGTTTGTCTTTTTGGTGCATCTAACAGGGCAAGGAGCAGCTAGTGGTTCTCGATGAAAAGGAGACCTTTGTTCCTGAAACAAGGGTTGCGGCCGGTGCCAGTTTTGCGGGGGCACGGCTGCGACGTCCTGTCGAGTCTAGGCGCTTCATCATGCTGGAGGCACCGTTCCTTAAATACTTCAGGTGCACATTCTTTGCTGTTGCTTCTTCTGTCTACTGTTATGTCTTGTGCCTGTAAAATCACTGCCTTTTGAAAGTCTTTGAACAGCCCCAACCCCAGAAATTCATGGGAGGCAGCAAATGCTTCCCATACTTTTCATGTCATGGTACTCGTGCAAAGAGAAAGGGGTTCAAAATGCTTGTCTTTCCCGAGAAAGATTCCTCTGGGCTATCCATAACGTCAGAATTGGTTGCCCGGTTGACCACAAAGCTAATCAGTAAAGCAGCTCAGCTTCAAAGCTCCACCAGCCTGTTTTTCTATATGTATGTTTAGGATGATATCTGGGTGCTAGTGTGCATGGACTGCGGTCTGGCAGCTTCAGGCATTCAAACTGTCTCAAGTGTACGTAATTCACATGACAAAAAAACATCCTTTGTGGGTCACTTTTCTTTTTTTTTTCTTCTGTTTTTGTGTTGTGAGTGTTAGCTGGAAGATTTCTAACCTGTTTGTTGTTTTCACCTAATTTATTTTGTTGTCCTTTCCTGAGCCAGTGTCTGGTGTTTATTTATAGTTTCTTTACGAAATGCATAATGAAGAATATCTGCTCCTTTGTCTGCCCCCAGGTTGTGCCTGGAGAACTCTCTGATGCGTCCCGTGTCCACATTCAGCAAGGAGCGCCACGTCATCAACTGCCGGTACCTCGAGCGCATCGTCATTCCCGTGGTCCTTGTGAGTGGTCTATGTTTCGCGGTCTACGCCACGCTCTCTTCTCACCTGGCCACCCTTTTGTCGTCGTTGCAGTTCTTTGCACAATGGTTTGTCGTCGCCATTGCGCTTTTATTGTCGTCGTATTTTTGAACTTGTGGATACGTGCATAGCAAGAAGGCAGTCCTTCTTGAAACGGTAACTCACATCTCTGGCCTAAAATTAGAAATTTTCCCATTGGGGTGTGGTTGCTAACCTCCGGTATTTAATGTGCACTATGCAGCAGCAATTACACAAATCTATGGCAGATTGAGGCCCGTTTTTAAGCGAGCCGGCAAAAGTAAGGGTAAAATTTCTTATACCTGAAGCACTGACAGGAGCTTCTGCTCCGCTGTGCCAAACCATGGTGCACTAATGCATTCCTTCCCGATTGCAAATTAGAGAAGTTTTGCTACATTACATCCCTAAGAATGTCTAGATTAATTATTTCTGAATTGCCTACTGTTCAGGGAGCAGCTTTGAAACAGAAGCTAGTGACGGGGAACCAGATGACTCTTTTCTTCCGCTTTCGATTGTGTCGTCCAGGGCGTCGCAGGCTTTCTCAAGCGGCGCGTCATGTTGTGAAGCAGTTAGTGTATGCGGCGGATTTTTGTTGTTAGGATTTCATTACTTCAAGGCTTACAGCACATCCGTGTTTACCTTCAGCAGGGAGATACCATAACCCATCTTTGGGTCATCTGGAGAGGGGGAATGAAAAACAGGTGGCTGAAAAGGAGATGTGAAGCTCATAAGTGCACTGAGCACATGGACGAATCTAGACGTAGACATAGTTGGAAGGTTCAAGAGCAACGTGCCTGCCCGGTGGTGCGTCACAACTCAGGTGAAAAAGAAGCACCCTATCAGACATCTTAACATTATATTAGCCGGTTTTTCAACCTGGCTAAAACCAAACAAATATATATTTTTAGAGGAAAAATTTCCAAATCTGTTTGGGTACGCTCGGAACAAATGCTTGATTGGACATGTTTCAGTTGTTCGAGATCCGGACGTTTCCTTAAATAGTGAATTGAAATTTTCTGAGCACATGACATATCCGAGCAATACATGTTACCGCACAAAGCGCGCGATCACCAAAACGATTTGCCAGTTTAAGAGTTAATTTTGCTTCATGCATCTGTACCGATCACTGATCTTGCCTAAATTAGGTTTTTCTAGCGTGGTATGGAATTCATGGAATAAGACAAACTAAAATGAAATTGAAAATATACAGAAGTTTGATCAACTGTTCTCCAACTATTATTTTAATAGGCGGATTTATTTCAGTCATGAGCAATTGTTGAAACTTTTAGACTTGCATTACTACCTCTCCGAATGGAGGCAGGCACAGGATTTGCCCCCTTTGCACAATTGTATTCACAGTTTCATTAATTGTCCAACACTAACCTTTTCTATTTCCATAGCTGGACCTAACAGGACTCTTTTGCTTTCATTGTGTATTCAGTTGCTCAGAGTCGAGAAGTGTAAGACCCCTGGAACGTCTCCAGTATGTTTTTAATGCATTGACTGTGATGAACAAGCCTTAGGTGGACATATTTTTGTGGGAAATTTTGACTAATCGATCTTTGCTAAAAACTTTTTGGATTTTTTTTTTTTTGTTTTTGTTTTAGCCAGTACTGTAATGTAGAAAGACACTTTGTAAACTTTCCTTCTTTCAATTTTCGTGTCTCAACAGCTCATACCAGACTGCATGTAACTGCGCTGCAAGTGCTGTTTTATCGGCTACGATGTGTGCAATTTTTTTTATGCTTACTACATATTGTTTTTTGCATACTTTGCAAATGCTGCCCATAATGCTTTCTTTTTTTTTTTTTTGCTATGTTGTGTGCTGTTTTTTCTTCATTTGCAACGACTTTGTATTGCTTCTCCAACAAATATGCTGCATCAATGCGATACGTATGTGACAATCAGTGCACCCTTCCATAGGACCAAGTGCTGTTTAGGAACACCAGGAAAGCCAAATAAATAAATGTGCACATAAATACCAAGTGTTTTGAAGTACTTTAAGTACTACTTCAGGTAGGTTTAGAAAACTTGTACTTTACTTAAAGTTCATTCTCTGAACATGTACTTCTTGTACTCTCCAAGGTAAATACAGTGAAACCCGTTTAGAATGACCCACGTACAGCAAATTATTGTCAATATGGAACTCACGAAATTTTTAAATAAAAATGCCTTTAAAAAGTACTTTTTATAATGAATAACAGATTGGCTATATCAAACTTTTTCCCCCGGGAAGGCTTGCAAAAACGTGCAAGCAGTCATCATCTAGCCTGTCCCTTGCCCCCCCCCCCCCCCCTCCTCTTCCCCCCCCCCAAAAAAAAACTTAGGAAAGAAAGAAAATTTTAAAAGCTCAAGCCGCGAACAAAGTTGAGCGAAGAGAAGCGATTCACAAGAGGAGAAAGCTAACAAAACACTCTGCACGCCTGCACAGAAAAACAAAAAGTTTCATCCCAAAGTGGTTGCCACAAAAAAGAAGCGATTCAGAAAAGGAGATAAGCTAAAAACAAAACAATATCTGCATGCATGCAAAAAAAACACAAAAAAACTTTACAGCGCGTTGTTACAAGGCGGAAGCGATGAGATGAGAAAGAAAGAGAAGCTCTCGCCTTACAACGAACGCATCGTGGAAGTTCGTTGTAAATGGTTTTTGCTATATCGAACTGCTCGCTATATCAAACTGATTGTAGTGTTACCTGCTGTTCGTTATAAACGGGTTTGACCGTACAACTCCCAACTTCAAAGTACATTCTCCAAATTTGGTTTGGCAAAATTATGCTCTTTCAAGGACCACGCGCTTGCGTCCATGGCTTTCCCGGTTCTATACAAAACTTCTGAGATCGAGTACAAGAGTTTACCAACCTCTAACAAAAGATGGCATATCATTGTGTGAAAACATGCTATCATCTTTCAAGGCGTCACCTGGTCATTTCTGTGAGTGGGGTAATGGCTATAAGACTGATACAAATATGTGCCTTATAAGTTGATTGTGCTAAGTAGTTTGTCAATAAGAGTAAAACAACTGCTCTGTGGCCACTTAACTTTACCCAGTATTCGCCATTTTCAAAAATAGCTGATGCACCCCCCTTTACCCCTTGGGCAATACATACCCATTTTTAAAAAAAGCTGTAAGGGAATGAATGATTCCATAAAGAAGCACTTGTACTTTACTTTGAAAGTACACTGTATTTATACATAGTACTTTACTTCCAGTACATTGTGCCTAGTGTACTTAAGTCACATAACCTCTCATTTACTTTGTACTTTACTTCAAGTGTACTTTTTAGATGTACTTTACCCAACACTCTGAAATACCGAACAAAGCAAAAAGGACAAAACAAGACCACTTATTGTACCATACTCCTGATATTACTACTAAGCTTTTAATATAGCTTAAAGGGATACTTCAACGAAATTTGAAATATTCCCGTCGTGTTCAAAAATAGGTTGAATATGATCCACAATATCCGTAAATGACAATCGCACGTTTGTATTTTGATCCTGGTGGCTGTATTTTTTGTTATAAATGGCCCACTTTGGCAAGCGCTCGGAGAAGGCCCAGCTTAGAGCACGTGACATCCAACGCAATCGTGACGTAGGTCGTCTCAAGACGAGCAAAGCTACGGCGAGGCTGACGTTGAGAGGATGGCCTAGTCGTTCGAGCCACCGAAGCGGCTGCTTTTGTACAAATTTTGAGTGACAGGCTAATCTTCTATAATCTTCTAGGGGGACAATAGCGACTGCTGCGACACACAAAAGGGATTCTCGGGAAGAGGAAAGTTCCTCCTTCCCCCCTTCTCTCGTCGTGGCCGGAGACGAGACAACCTCCGTCACTAGCTGTGAAGGTTTCTAGACGAGCATTACAAACGAGGCTTTAGCGACATCCACCAGGTGCTCTCTGCTAATCGTTTAATTCGTTTTAAAATTCCTTTTCGAGACTTTTTTAACAAGATATTGGTATGTTCCATGTGATACTGCTCTTTCGAACACATATAGACCAAAAAATGAGCGCCGAAATTTCGTTGTAGTATCCCTTTAAAAACATAAACACATCAACTGAATGTGAAGAAACACCGTTACACAAAGCTTCCGTTTGAGTGACAGGCCGAAAGCTGGGAGCGCCCACCGACATAAAACAGTTCCGTCGACGACAGAGCAGGAAGGCAAGCAGAACCTCACAGTGAATAATAAAACTTGAGCTTGACACTTTGCCGTTTAAAAGTCAGTATACAGAAATGAGAAATCGTGAAGGGCTCTTCTTTTAGAAAGTGCGTCCGCGCCAGTTTGGAAGCCGCATCCTGCCGTGCCGCACCACGCAGGTGCTCACGGGGGTGCTGAAGCTGGTGCAGTGGCGGTACCTGGGCGACCTCACGGGGGGCGCCAAGGACCTGGTGCTCCAGCCCGCGCTGACCGTGCTGCCGCTGCTGCCGCTCTCCCTGCCAGTGCTCTGGCTGGGGCTCCACGGCCTCGGCAACGCACGGCTGCACCTCATGGTGGTGCAGGCTCAGCCTGGTCGGGACACGCTCGGCGACGTGAGTTGCTGCCGCACAAACAAGATCTCGGGAGATCTTGCCAAGATGTGCGCTCGTGTTATGAGTCCTGCCCCTAGGTGAAGTGTTTTCTCAGTTTAAGCTCCGCTTTTGGCGGACCCAGGCGACCAGACGGTGATGTGGAAAGAAAACTGTCCGACGTCGCTGCACTCTCTGTCCCGGAGACTAGGTCGTCCCTTCGAATTCAACACTCTGTCACGCTGTCCCTCATTTGGAGCAGTGTGGGGAGCTGGGCCAGTTGGTATGCGGTGAGCAAGTTGTCTGCTTCTTGCACAGGAGTTGCGGTGACGTCAGAATGACGCCGAGTTCCAATTGGCTTTGATTGGAAGGATAGTGGGTAGACCTCGATGGTAGAAGCCTTTAAGGTCTACCCAGTATTTTTTTTTAATTTTTCTTCAGTCAGCCAATAAGAACTCGGCATTCTGATATCATCGCAACCGCTGTAGAGGAAGCAGACGAACTTGCTCTCTGCATTGAGACGCCATGATCAAAAACAGTCAGACCGGCCGGTGTACTTGAACAAGCAACAATTTTAGGAAAATTTCCAGATCGGAATGTTGGGAAAATCATGGAAGCCTGCCATATAGCGAAATTAAGAGAGTGTTGCATTAGCAGGCCGTCGATAACGATAGATAATTATCGATCGATTGACGAGCCTTCGATTGATAAAAGAAGGAAGTGCTCTTCCTAGCCAGTGCTTTGAGCGACTAAGTGTTGCCTGACCCTGTGATCTGCCCTGCACATGTGCATCTAAAGTTTTCTTTTTTAGTTTTCTTAGTTTCTTACTATTTTTGTAAATATTCGTGGTGTGATCCTGTGTGTTTCTCTTCTTTTGTTCTGTCTTTTGTGCACTGTTTTTCATCATGCTGTTGCTCATAACTTTTTTTTTCATACTGCAAGAGGCATGGATTCTATTGCCGTTCTCACTATTTCCTGTACCATACTCGCCGTGTTCATCCTTTGACCCTTCAAGTATTCCTCTCCCCTCTACAGTGCCTTGAGGGGCACAGCAGGATTGAGTGTAAATGGATAAATAAATATTGATGCATTACTATACTATAGACCCTCCCTAGTATACTATGTGCATTGCTGCTTACAAGGTCCGTAGGCTCCTGAATTGCTTTATTGCCTCAGTGCCGAGACCGGGAGGTGTTCCTTGCGATTGCAAAGTTTGAATATCTCTGTATTGAGTTAAAGCTAGGAATAGAGAAACAGAAGGCAGAGTCAAAAAAAATTCTGTCAGCTTCCTGTTTTTTTTTTGCAAGAACCACTATGGGCATGTGGAAATAGATTCCTGTTTTGTGCTTCACAAATGTTAAGAGTATACGGCTCTTCACTCACGCAGACGATGGCACCATGTTTCTCTACCTAAATCGTGGATTTTTACAGGAGCACTAGGTCCCCCTTTGAAACCAATCTTTGAGAAATGTTAAATACAATAGTTTCTCTCGAGAAAAATCATCAAGTCCGCCTTGGGTTCCGCCATTTGTTTTCCTCGGTCACATGCAGTCACGACATAGAACACATCTTGTTTAAATTAAAATTTTAAATTACAAGCATCATTGTTTACAAGTTCTGCAGGTTTCTTGACTTCTGTATTGTGTCAGCAAATGAAAGTAACGACAAGACCAACATTTATATTTTTTCGCGCTCACCAGCAGGGTGACGTCGCATGTTGCATCAATTGCAAGTTGAGCAGGCAGCCAAAAAAAAAAAAAAAGTTTGTTTTTGTTTAGCCAGCATGAGCCCAGCATTTGTTTCACGTTAAGCATGTGCGAATAGTGGATTCTCAGTTCGAAGTGAGTAGTGGTTTTGATGGAATATTTTTAAATTAAATGTTGAATAGTTCCTCCAAGCCTTTCACTACTGCAGTGTGCTTGAATGAACGCCCAACTGAACCCGTAAAGGTTTTTTTCAAGCTTCCACTCATTCATTTCTGAGCTAGAAGTTAATTTTAATTCACCTATTTATAGATTGTGGCCTCAGATAGTCCAATGCCTACATGAGTAAACGACGTATTTGACATAAAATTAAACCTGTAGAGACGCCCAGATATGGCTAATTGAGAGAAATTATAAATCTTCTGTCTTAAATCTCTTCTTCTTCTTAATTCTTAAATCTCGAATGTGAGAAAAAAAAAAAAAAAAGACAATTGCAAATGATGAATGCAGGTTGTCAGGGCATCTGTGCCTAACATATACTCTTTCGTAATAACCACATTTTTTTTTAGAAATTTACTGTAGCATAGGCATAAACATTCGCAAAAAGTTTCTATTTTTTTTTTAATATACCAGGCACACACCTGCACCATGCTGCTTTGAAAGTGTGTTTTCTTACTAAGCAACTCGACTGCAATATTTTTATTCTTTGAGGTGTTGATTGCGGCGGATTAGCCCCAATACGCGCTTTTTATCGAGCACCGGTGCACAGCGGTGAAGCATCATACGCGGAAGCGAGCTCTGCAGACGTGGCTTGTCCACTGTGCGCTGGTGCTCGTTGTGCTAGGGTGACCACCCGTCCCGCAACTCAGGGAACCGTCCCGCATGGAGGGCTGGTGTTCCACATCCCTCAAGAAATACCAAAATCTTCAAAATGTCTCTCATTTCACACTGTCACAAAATTCACTGTGCGTCTCGTGGGGCTGCAGAACAACGGGGCACAGGGAAGTGCAGAAGTCGCTGGTAATCATGCGAAGCGCAATGGTACGCCATTTTCTATCCAAGCACTGCGGGGAGCAACCGTCGTTCTTGCAAGAGAACCGAAGCGCATGCGCCGTTGTGCCTCTTCTTTGCTGGGCCAAAATATTGCCAGAGAAAGTCGCTCGCCAAACATTGAAGAATAAATTATTGCAATTATTTATGAATAGTGCTGTGTCAGTGCAAAAAAATTACTGCGGAATTTTTTTTTTTAGGGAAGACGGTTGCACAATGCACGAAACCCTGCAACTTGCTATGGTTTTAAAAAGACCTAAGGTTCTAAATTTGTGTGGGAACATGTAAGTAAAAGTAAGCATCTACAGGAAACAATAACCCGAAAAAGATTTACGTAGTGTTTCTTTTCCCCCCTTGGTGCATTGACTTTTGCTGCTGTCGATCTTTATGTGTTCAAATTAGACTCTCTTAATAACATATTTGGTATTGAAAATAAAAAGATAATCATTGAAAGTGAAAATTATTTGAGCTTTATCGCTGCGATACAATTCGCAGGTGTATAATATGCGTTTGGACAGCACAGGATATTAAATGAGTTAGCAGAGTCAGATTTCGTGGCCTGCATGTTGATAAATTTCCTCTAATAGTTTCTTTTTCAGCTGCCGCAGTCGTGAAAATTCCGTACTTCTCCTGTCAGCGTGCCGCGCATTTCATTAGCTGGAAGGTGGTCACCCTAAGTTATCAAGCACACTCAATGGAGCTTACCCACTGCAATCAACGCTTCGAAAAACGTAAATATCGCTGTTTGTCTTAAAGTGGATATCGGGTAGCATGTTATTTGAAACTACTATTCAAATATTCACACCATCAAGCTTCTTGCAAACCGTCGGGAACGAAGCTCTAATGCCCTCCTGTATCCCCCTATTGCATCCTCTGACATCACGTTTTCGCTGTTGCCAGTGGAGTCTCGACCTCTTGAGCCAAGTTCGAAACCCTACTAACCAGTGGCATAGCCAGAAAATATTTTTAGGGGGGGTGTTTAGAGGTGCTGGTGCAAACACACACACACACACATGCACGCACGCATGTACACACACACACAATCAAACTGGCAATCTCTATATATATATAATAAAGTAAAATTTCGGGGGGTGTTTCGACACCTGTCTTGACACCTGGCTACTCACCTGCTACTAATTTTGTAAACCAAATATTATCGTGACTTGTGTTTTGGGTTACTAGATCAGATGAATCTATTAGCCTGTTGAACCAATTTGGACGCAAATTTGTTACTATCAAAATTTCGCCTGAACTCCCCAGGTTAGGACTCGCCGAACTTGCCGATCCTCCCCCCCTCCCCCGACCCATGCAGTGCGATCCGGAAGATCCATTTGAGGAAGAGAACGAGGCCAGGTCGACCCAGCCCCAGGCCGTGTCGCCGTCGTGGAGTGAGCTCCGACCGCTGGTGGTGGCCCTGCTCCGCGGAAAGGCCCCGGACCTGTGGCGGACTTCGAGCCTACTCCACGTCCTCGGAAGCGTCACGGTGAGGAGGGTCTACTCTGCGTGGGCACGTTGAGGCCTGAAAAATCATCTTTTAAAACTGTGCCTTGCGACGGCCGTTTTCTGGAACGGAAATTGGCTTCAAGGAACCGACTAACTATCCTCTCCCGCATGCTATTTTCTTGTCACGGTATTCCCCATGTCCTCTAACCTACTACACAGGGAGAAAGCCTGCACTTTCTGTGCCAGATCCGGTCGCAGAACTGAGGGTGAGGGAAGGGTGGAACAAATCCGCAGGCCCTTTTCTAAACTTTCCTTTTTCTTCTCGTTTGTTTCTTGTCCACCAAAAAATATTTATGCAGCTAAACAATCCGAGCTGCACAAACACGTACACCTTCTTCAAGTACCATCGCATGTAAACGAAAACTGTCCCCCATCTATGTGCTTTGAGTGCACAAAGCATTTATTCTGCGAACCGGTTAGTCAAAGGGAAAAAAAGGAATTTCATGGTCTCCTTCGGGGCCAGCATACAAACTTGGGCACTCCTACAGGGAAGGTGATCATCTCGGCAGCTTCCACCGAGTGAGAGCAGGAAAGTTGGTACTTAGGGAGGGGCCCAAGGTTCCATGGGAGCTGTTCGCTTAGCGACACGCGGTTCAAACCATCGCAGAAAGAAGGACAAGGCTGTGCCAAAACACGGACGTGATCAACAGAACTTTTGTTTCCAGGAGCGAGTTTGAGTGGCCAGAAATGCAGACACTAAGACAGGCATCATTTTAGACGGAGTGGCACCCCCTAATCGCAACGACCGTTTTGCTGGAACGCTCTGAATATCTCTTCGTGTAAAAGACAAAATGTTTCAGACGCTGTGTTGCGTGGACAAGAAGGGCATCCTGTCGTGGCCCAATCCGACGCCGGAAAAGGTCTTCTTCCTCAAGCCTCCGCGGGCGCGCAGCGCAATCCACGGATCCAGCTTCGACAGTCCGGATGCCACGAGGCTGCCGCCGCGGCCGGACGTTGTTCCGCAGGATGGACCCGAGAATCCGGACGTCACCTCCGGAGCTGGAGATTCTGGACTCGAAGGTGGGGCTTCCGTCACGAGAGTCCGATTCTTCCGAGTCTTTGTGACCGCAGGCAAACGTGGAAGTGGTTGTGATGGTGTGACAGAAGAAAGGCAGAAGTTTGTAGGAGGTGCTCGAAAAACAAATTAATACCTTAAAGGGCCTCAAAAATGGTAAGAAAGGGAGCAGAGCTCACGATATTGTAAGCACTAACGTCGGTGGTTACGAGAGAAAGAACAACAGAAAGCGGCAGAAGAGCTGAAAAAGGAAGCTTGCCGTGACACGTCGAAGTTGTTCAGTTGCTTGTCACTCTTTTCAACGTTCACGCAACGCATTCTGCGGGGGTTTTCTCTAGAAAAATCTGAAGAAAGCGAGGTAATGACATTGAAAGTGTTATTTTGCTGCTGCTTTAGGTTTGTTAAAGTCTTGCCAGCAGTCTAGGCCCGCCGAAACCACAAGCGTCGACAGGTATTCCCTGACGTTTTTTTTTTTCAAGATTTACTATCTTGACTCATGCAGCATATTCATGTATCACCTTCACTAATACAAATGATGAAGTATGGCCAGAAGTAATCTAGAAGTACAGCCCTTAGGGCAGTTGCTGTAATGCGGTTTGCATAGTCATGCTGTGCTCGTGCAATATACAGTACTTACAACGTAACCGCTTATAGTGCAGGACCAGGTATAATGCGGCTTTCTTAAGCCACCGGTTCGCCTCCCATAGAACTCCATGTAATTACATACCGCTTAAAATGCAGGGACGCGAAGGGAAATACCGATTATAGTGCAGTTTCTGGAACAGCCCGCCGACCGCGCCGACTGACCGGCGCAGCGAGCACGCTTCCTTGTGCGACACTAAATAACGGCGCTAGCCTGGCTAGCCGCAAGCAGCACTCGCAGGGCAAGGAGGTAGCTCGAAGAAGCGGGGAGAAGCGAAGAGAGAGGCTTTAGTTGCCATAGCAACAGAAGGACGCACGCACGTGTCGTTCATGTGCGTGCGTCCCTCCGCTGCGTTGGAAACAACCGCAACGACAGACCAATCGCAGGTCGAAGAGAAGTGTTCGCGCGCGTTGCATGCCGGTCGCGGGCCGGCTTCTTCTAGCCGCAAACATTGCGTCGGTTCTGATCGTCGACGTAGACAGCGTGGTGGAAGCTCATCGTTCCGTGTAAAAGCGCTATCCTTGACTGTGAATTTTGTTGTGTGTCGCTATGATAACCCAACACGTACTAGAAGGGAAGATCCACCTACTAGTGCGGCGATGTCGTGGCGGCACTCTCAAGATGGCAGAAACGCCCGTGTCGTCGCGTTTGTTTACTTCGACTACAGTGGTGCTTTCTAAGCATTTGTGTTTTCGAACATCGCCCAGATTTCTTATTTGGAGCATTTCATGCCTATGCTCAAGTTGAAGGTATTACTGGCGCATACCGTATAAAGGATGCGAATTTTCACGCGTTTTCATCACCGGAGAAAAGTGATTAAGGTTAGCAATCCTGAACGCTCGCAACGTCCATCTGCAACCCGCGACGCCACTAAAAGGCTGCGCCAAGCGAAAGTCGCTCATTTCTTTCAAAATGTGTGACACATTTAAGAGAGAAGTGTACTAGTCTTGTGAAATAAAGGCTTTCCTCAAACTAAGCTTTATTTTTCATCTAACATAAAATAAATTATTTTACAAAGGTAGGTTGTCTGATGGCATGTATTTTGGCCTGAAAAATTGATGTTTTGGTTATAGCACGGTACCGCTTATAGTGCAGATTTTCGCGACTCCCACGACATGCGTTATATGCGGTCTACACTGTATTTATCTACAATCTCCATTTTGTGTCCCTGTGATATCCTTGGAGGTCATCCCAATGTTTAGGGAACTGCTATTACTACATCTCGAGAAAACGGCAAGCTGAAGTTGAGGGTAGGCGGTCAAGTGAATCGACATTATCGCCTGTCAACTTGCGAGCCATCGCAGTGCATAACCGAATCTATGATCCAGCCCGCATCTCTTGCAGGTAGCGGATACGTTCAGACAATCCCAAAAAGCAGTCCGCGCCTCGACTCGAGGCACGCCACGGGGGGATCCGCCAGCTACGATCCGACGGACCACATGTACCACCCGGGGAGCCATGTGGAAGTGCTGGACCTCACCCACAGCATGTCGTCGGCATTTGGCGTGCAGTTCGACGACCCCCGGTGGAAGGACTACATCGCCAACCTCAAGCCCCTCGTAAGAACACGTCCGTTGGAGACATGGTTCGACGGTACAGACAACTGCTGCTTCGGTTGTCTGTACTCTGGCTACTTCCGTTCGTAGGGCCTCGGAATTAGAGATGTGTTCTGAGAGTGTGGACAACTGCTGCTTTAGTTGTCTGTAACCGGCCTAGTTTCATTCTTGGTGTCTCGGAACGCGTTCCAATGATGCGAACAACTGCTACTTTGGTTGTTCATACTCTGCCTGTTTTCTTCGTAGGGCCTTATACAGTAAAACCTCGCTATAACAAAGTTGAAGGAGCGGTCGTAATTATTTCGTTATAACCATTAATTTGTTATAGCCATTGTCCATTTCTTCCCACTATTAGCAAGCAAGGGGAATTATGATTGCTTTGTTATATCCATTAGTTTGTTATATCCCATTTTGTTATAACGAGGTTTTACTGTAGTCAGAGACACGTTACGAGAGTGTGGACAACTGCTGCTTCAGTTGTTTATACTCTGCCTGTTTTATTCATGGGGTCTTGGAGGTGCTTTCTGATAGTGCGAACAACCGCTACTCCAGTTGCCTGTACTCTGTCCGTTTTCTTCATGGTGCCACGGAATCGGAGACACATTCTGAGAGCGTGAATAGCTGCTGCTTCGGTTGTCCGTACTCTGCCTTCTTTTGTCCGTAGGGCCTTGGCATCCTACTGAACACCTGCAACCCGGCGACACAGGAAAAGTATGCCTGCTTCTCCGATCACATCGCCTGTGAAAGTCTGCACAATGAGTCGGCAGTTCCGGTCGTCAACAAGAGGTGTGTGTTCATTGTCTCTTTTCTCCTCCTGTGCCTTTTTGTAAAGGAACAAGAAGCAATTTTATGGCCGAAAGGGACATTAATGCAGTTGGATTGTTGAAAGGACCACTGAAGCAATTTTATTCCCAAAATGGACTCTGAAACAATTTCACACTAAAGACTTGCACAGTTGATATGAACTCTGATTAAATGTTTTTATTGAATGGAAAACTGCAGTAATTTTATGGTTGAAAGGTGCTTTGAAGCTGTTTAATGGTTGAAGCTGCCACAAAACAATTTTGGGTCAAAAAGGGACATTGTTGCAGTTGCAAGGTTGAAGTTACTGAAGCAGTTGCACGGCTGAGAGGGACACTGGGGAATCTCACGGCTGAAAAGGACACTTAATCAGTTCTATGTCAGGTAGGGACATTGAAGCAATTTCATGGTTGCAAGGAACATCTAAGCAATTTTGTGGCTGAAAAGGGAGATATCAAAACAATTTCATTGTTGAAAGAGACGCTGAAGTAACAATTCCACGGTTTAAATGGGTAACAGAGATATATTCCAACTGACGACACTGCCAACATTCTAGTTCAAACACATGATTCGTTGATGTCGCAAATTATAACTAGGGTTTCGTGTTTTAGGATAGATTAAGAAAACTCGGAGAAACGCCCTCTGGTAAAATTTTGGTCAATTCGGATTTACCCGGTAAGCTCCGAACTCCCAAAAACTTTTAAAAATAAAAAAAAAAATAAAGAACACGGTAATTTACAGTTAAGTTTCATCAGCGTACAGCTTCAATGGTTTTTGGAAAATGCCACCACAGTTATCTTTCAAATCTCGGACCATTGTCGAAAGGGGTCTTAGGGCTTATCTCATCGAGGTTTATTCAGGACAACAGGCCGTCATACTTTTGGGTCACGTCAAAAGCCACTGTTTCGGCTGTCAGTTTGGGCCATTCTATTTGTGCTTTAGACGAGAGAGAGGTAATATTTTTGTAACACTTGTGGGGTTCTTTAAGGAGATCCCTCTATATTAACAATCGTCGCCTGATCGGTATGCGTTCCGCCCATCACCCAGGGAATCACACATTGCAACGAGAAGACAGCGAATGGGTTTACTGTACCTCTTGGTTGCCCGTCGTCAAGAGCCGGTAGTCCGGGCCTCCCGGCCCTTGTTGTCGCCCGTCGATCAGAGCTCACAGTCGGGGTCCATGTCCAGGCCTGCGGATCGCCTTTCCCACGCCAGCGTGCGTAGGCTGTCTGTCCCGGGCAATGCCCGAGTCTCGCTGCGGAACCACCCCGGGATCGTCGTAGCCCAGGTCATATGGCCCGGGCTCGCCGTTTCCACCGGTCTTGCTCCAGACCTCGCTGGTGGACCGCTTCGGGGTTCGATGGGCCAGGTCAGGCAGCCCCGGCTCCGTCGTTCTTGTCCAGCTACCAGCCTCGCTCAGCACGCAATGTCTCGCGCCAGCTCGTGTCTTCTCTGCCGGCCGCCTGTCACGTGCTCTCTGCCTCGTCTTTCACCCTCGGCTCCCACACATTGAAAGCTATAAACCATTGAGATTGCATAAAATGGGGAAGAGGGGCAATTGAAATTTATAACATCTTTTACTACACCTCATTGCACAACCGCTGTGTAGGTTGTTTGAATAGGATGAGATGAATACGAGCTTCTCAGCGACTACCAGTTTATTTATTTTAAGGTATCGACGTTTATCGAAGCGACACTCATGTGCAACTTCTGTTGTGGGACAAATTAGTGTTGCCTACGGCAATGGCACCAGTGCCAAATCAGGCTGAAGAAATTTTAATTGATTCAAGCGCATTTTATTTTTTATCTAGCATATGTTTACACCCGAATGTTATTTATTTATATACTTATTTTTACTAGACAACACTGCGAAATTAAACTCCGAAATTCGGAGAATTGGGAGTCAAGCAAAAATAAACTCCGACAAGCTCAGCGTTTTCAGCAAAAAATTAACTCCAAATTCAACGAAAAATCAACTCCGAAAACACGGAATCCTAATTATAACTAAACGATACATAAAACCGATCGAGTAACGTCGACGACAGCCACAGCAGTCGAGGTTCACAAACATCGAGCGTGGCACCGCTAACGAAGTGGACATGTTGGCAAGGTTGACTGTGGGGGCTTTCGATTACAGGTGTCTGTGTGACCTGGCGGTTCAGATGGGCTTCACGGATCGTGCAGTGGAGGCTTACCAACACCTGCAGCATATTGCGCTCTTCAGGCATGTGGTCAGTCACAACTTCGTCGCCTTTGCTGTCCCGGCAGGCGCTTCTGTCTCGGCAGAGGCGCCTGCTCTCACCCCACCTTGGTTTTGGCCTCGGCCTTCGAGTATAATTGACTTTTTGCGTCGGATAACGACGAATCTTGGTTTTCCACATTGCATGTTAAGACTGCAGCTGACGCAGGACAAGTCACCTAAAGTTTTGTTGACCGTAGTCACAGTCTTATGACCAAACGTTTTGGAACCTGTATGCTCGTAGACATGGCTAGAATGCTCCCATGTGCTTGCTTCGCTTGTTGGTACCACCTAGAGGCAACAGAAGGAAGTACTTGTCACGTCTGAGCTGGGGGACTGCTTAACCTGCCTTCTCAGGACTTGAGCAAAGATATTTTACGTATCGCCACCTAGTTTGCGGTAAAATAGAAATGAAACGGTTCATTTTGTTTCACTATATACTTCACCATAAAAAAAAAAAAAAAATACCAGCTATGGTTACATTTTTATTTTTGTGCCATTTTGTCACAGAAACGGGACGTTTACTGAAAGTTCGCCCAATTAAACCGTACCGATACCTTTGCATTGAGCTTTACCATCTTCTAACAAAGATTTTTTCTCCTTGCAGCAACCGGAGGTTGTCCAGAAAGGTCGTCTGGCGCGGTCGCTCAACTTCCCGCGACTCAAGATGCCCTTCCCCAACATGTGCTGCGCCGTCGTCAAAGAGGTGACGCACCCAAAAGCGCAATCGTCTCGGTCCCCGTTTCCAGTCCGGCGTTTCTGTCTAAAAGAAACGTTCACCAACTTTTTTTCGTCTTTTTTTCTCTTGGACCTGTCTTGCAGGCGCTGTCCGGGATGCTGCAGATGTTCACGCAGGGCACGGCGGACCTGATCCTGGACCTGTGCTCGGAGTACTGGGACGGCCGGGACCTGTGTCCCCTGAGCGACTCAGACCGCAAGCGCATCCTGGACTTCTACCAGCGGTCCAGCCTGACCTCCTACTGCCTGGCCTTTGCCTACGCCCCGCTGCTGCCCTCCCTCCTCCTGCACCCCTCCCTCGAGGGTGCCTACCTGCAGCTGCCCCCCGACTGGTGAGCGATGAGTCCGCTCAGTTTGGGACGGACCACAGCTTTGGGACGGACGACAGCTCTGGCTCTGGTATGCAATTATTAAAATAATTGCATAAAATAACTAATTAACCTTTTAATTCGTGAAAATAAACATGTGGTTCCAATTAGAAACTCGTTGAACGTCATTGAAAACCCCTAAATCAGTCAATTTTAGGAAGACTTGAAGCACGTGGGGAGCGAAAGGAGGGGGGGGAGGGGTGCAAGGCCGGCGATGCAAAAACGAGGATGATTTTCTTATTATTTGCGTTTTCGGATCGTCAGTCTTCCACCTGTTGCGCAAGCTTTAGCTCTTCCTAAGATTGACCGAATTAGGGGTTTTCGATGGCATTCAGCAAGCTCTTAAAGGAGCTGTGCAAAGATTTTAACGTTGAAAGAATTGGCATCTTCTGCTTTTGATATTGTTTACCTTGCCACAAATGACAGAAAACACACCTCCTTTCATCGAAATGTTGCGATTCCGCCGCGTAATCGCTAGGCAAAACTTAGAATGTTCCCCGACCTGCAGCCGTGAGCGGCGGCCATGAGAAACACGCGGCGTGACGTCACTGGGGAATCTTGTAGAAAGATAGCAAGTTGTGCGAATACCTGCTCGATAAAAGGTAACTTTTCTGTAAATCTTGTCGTTCCAACATATATTTAAATGCGTCAAAAACCTGGTATCATCTACAAAACTTTTATTATACGGAGTTTTAGTGGCGCCATCTATCCTAGGTTCACAAAACCTTCAGCTCTATCTGCTACCGCGAACGGCCGCCAGATGCCGGAGGGGAAGGGGGACAGGACTGGACGGGTATGGCCGGACCCGGATGAGACTTTCCTCCTTTCACCATATTGTTTGCGCGGCGCCCGCCAGCACGTGGTCACGCGGTCGCGAGCGGATGAGTTCTCACTGCTCACTGATGGGTTTAAAGAGAGAACTTTACCGGAACCTCGTGCCTACCCCATTAACGTCACTGCGCACGTGACCCGGATGACGACGTACGAATTGAGAGGCGGCAAAAACCTGTATCTTTTTCATTTTTTTAATATAAAAACTAGGGTATCCAGGCAAAATCTGTTTTCTGTAGTTCACTTCAGAAGTGTCAGGCATCAACTTCCACAATTATTTAAGCAAAGCCCTGAAATTGTTGCAGAGCTCCTTTAAATGGTACCATGTGTTTATTTCCACGAATTAAAAAGTTAATTAGTAAATTTTAAGTTATTATTTTGCTAATTAGTGTGTTCTTGAAATGCTTCACGTCCGCCGTGGCGAGCCTTTTCTTCCCAAAAAGAGTTTCTTTCTCGTCACAACCACCGAGCTATTTGTAAAGATTTTTTAAAGCATTTGCAGAAGCACCTGGTAGTATTGTTCGTCAATTGCCATCACCCTTCCCTACAACATTGCCATGCACTACGGAGAGTACCAGCGTGTAGTCACTGTATGTAGTAAAAGACATATAGAGCACTCACTTTAGCTGGTGCACATGGAAAGTCATTCAACTCTTGTAGAAGTAGCACGTTGGGTTGGACACCCAAAGGTTCGGAGCCCAATTCGTGGCAGGTGATGATTATATATTGGTTTGATTCGGAGTGAGTGCTTGTGCACGTTGCTTTTGCCTATGAGGCCACAGTAGCCAAACTGGTTGTGCTGACATACCATGTTGCTTATGCAGCGTGGGGGTGCTCACAGTTAAACGGACGGACATACAAATTTCTGGGAGTAAGCTTTTCGTCGTAATTCGGCTGTAGACTTTTCAATGTTTATTTATCAGAAATATCGACTGATGTTTTTCAGTGGGTATTCATCTTTCAAATGTCGGTGTAGTTGGGTTATTTGTTTGAGACGGACGCTCAAAGCGGCGATTGTTGGTGAGGAATCGCATGAAGGACTAAGAGTTTAAGTCTAGAAGGGGAGGGTTTCGTCAAACACAGTTTTAGCTGGCGCAAACGTTTCCAGAAATCGGTGTTTTTCGGTTCTAACTGAGTTCGTAATGTTGACACCAATGGTTGTTTATCGATTCTTTTTCGGTTAAAACTGATTTCACATTTATGGCACCGGCGGATGTTTAACAGTGTTTTCCCAGTTGAAACCAGAAAGCCTACAGTCTACTTATACAAAAGCATTTCATGCATTTTTTAGCAAAACTTGGAAAACTCCCGACTTGCACGTGTGCGTTTATACCACTCCTTTGGGGCGGTCGTGCCCTCCGCAGCAGTCACCTGTTTCCGTCGTCAATGAAGAAGCTGGCGGGTCAGACGAACCTGGAGGTGGAGGCTGCCAAGCAGAGCCACCACCTGAGCACCGACTCCATGTGCATCGAGGAGGAGCAGTCCCAGGAGAAGGAGGCCAGCACCAAAGGCGGGGAGCGGGCTCTAGATGCCACCGTCGAGCGCCTCAACAACCAGGTCTTCATCGGCATGGTCACCATGCAGTACCAGGCGTGCCCCGTGAGTATGCACCTACGGTGTATAGGGTGTTAGGAATTGAGACAGGGGCGGATCCAGAACTCCGTTTTGGGGGGGGGGGGGGGGGGGGGGGCGGCGCGGAAAATTTGTAAGGATGCTATTCTCCCATTCTTTCGTGTGCACTGGGGGGTCCACCCATGTCAAATTGCCCTCCGAGAAGGGGGGAGAGGGGGGTCGACTGTGTTTGGGGGAAAAAAAAACCGCCCCCGTCGCCCCCCCCCCCCCCCCCCTTGGATCCGCCACTGAGTTAAGAGCCTCTCTGTAACAGGAGCTGGAAGAAAAGGCGCCTGCGCATAGGAAGCTCAAACTTGCACGAAAAGTGTATTATAGTGGTGGATTTCACCTTGCAAAGTATAAAGGCAGGGCTTCATTCCATTAAAAGATTAGAAGAACATCTTTGACCTATGTATAATGTGTTCGGAATCAAGGGGCTCGCTGTAAAATGAGCAGAAAAAATAGTGCTTACACATAGAAAGCTCAAACTTGTATGAAAGGTGTATTATACTGGTGGATATCACCTTGCAAAACTTAAAGGCATAACTCCATGCCTGTAAAAAATTAGAACAGGCTTGGCATATGTCTAGGGTGAGGAAGCGAAGGGCTCGCTGTAAAATGAGTGGAAAAAAATGGGCCTACCTGTAACAAGCTCTAACCCATCAAGGTTGTCTAACAATGGTGAATATCACCTTGTGAAGTTTAAAGACATATCCATTCCCATGAAAAGCTAGAAGAACGTCCTCGACATATGTGTAGGGTGTTATGAATTCGGGGACTCGATCTAAAATGAGCAAGGAAAAGTGGTGCCTGCACGCAATATGCTTAAACTTGTATTAAAGATGCGCCGTAGTGGTGGATATTACCTTGTGAAATTTTAAGGTTAAGGGGAGACGCGGGTCGAAAAGCAACAATATTTTGCAAGAAATGCGATTTTGGGTTTTATTGTGTTGTATTATTTTTTAACCTCTATATTTGACAAATAAAAGTAACTAGAGCCGGCCATGATCGTGAGTTTAGTCAAATACGCATTTGAAGACTCCAGGAAATCCAGAACAGCGTGAATTTGAGCCATTTTTCTCTACTTGGCTCTTCAAGTTTTGACGTCGCCCACCGACACATTTACTTTGACAAGTAGGCCTAGCCGTCTCCTCTCCATTGCAGTGCTGTAGCTTCAATTTCTCACAGAAATTAATTAACAAAATATTATTTTCCGCATTGCAAAAGTATACAGTTTGACATCAATGGTTACATTCAAACGAGTCTTTCTTTTGATGTAATTTTGGAGCATCTTCACAAGTAATGCACAAGAATTTCTGTTCTTAATATTGTCCTATCACAACTAAATTTGGCACGCATATACTTTAAAATATGTAGAATGTGACTATCTAAGTTTTGATTCAAATGTAATTTTGTTTTTTATAAAAAAAATGTGTTTGTTAGTTTTTTTAAATGGCAGTTTCGCTATTTTTAATTATTTTAAAATGAAAGAAGCGCCAGACTGAATATTTCTATTGTTCATTGCACTCAGTAATTCAAAATGAGTGAATTAGTTTATTTTACTAGGCTTTTTTAAGTGTGTTGCCATGGCTCCTGTGTGCACAAGAAAATTTTTTTTCTGAATGTACATTGCATTGAGAATTTAAAAAAACAAGCTACTATAGAATACCGTGCATCCGCCCATTCCACATTAAGTGCCCATCCCCAAATTTGTAAGATCTGAGAAAATACGCACAGTACATTTATATGTAAAATTGATGACCGGACAAACGCCCATCCCCCTTTTTTTGTGATTATCTCTGAAGTTTGAGTGGGCGCTTGCCCGGTTTTTTACGGTATATCAAATCTGACACCAGATTAATAAAGAGAAGATTAAGCATCATAAACTGTAAAAATTTAATTTCAATAAAGTAAATAATAATAAAAAGAATTTCCCCTGGCGGATGTGTTCTTAAGCTTTGTACCTGTGAAAAATTAGAATAGAGACCTTTACATTTGTAATGGCAGGTTCCGATATGGACGACCGAAACACCGTACAGGTGCAGCAAGCAGAGGCACATGCCGTTTGCTCGCTGCAGAAAAAAATCTTGTGATTTTTTCCTGCAAGAGTTGATATGGCGACATGACACTCGGCATGTATATTGCATGAAAGTGGGATGTAACTAGCGCCACCTCTTAAAATGGCGGCAAACAAGCTCACCGAGAAAGCATAAAACATGCACAGTTACTGGGGTTTCTTATAATCACAGACAGTTGTGACTCTAGATACACTTCAGGGAACTGGTTTACCAATGAATTTGCAGTTCTTTGGAACACAGCTGTCATAATAAACATTGCGCGAAGCCTAAAACAATCGCCTAATCTTCTTTTCTTTTTTCCTGCAGGACTTTGTGAAGTTGGTGGAACAACTCGAGGCTGCTTGTATCCGCTTCGTCCATTTCTCCAAAGAGAATGAGCTGCGGAGTCGGGTAAGCCGGTGCTCTTCCGTCTTCATGCTTTGCTTTCAATATTCGACGTTGCTTTTCATAGCTGTTCAAAAGCATCCCAAAGTGATCAAACTACCTCAGCTGTGACTTTCATTATTTGTACACACATCGAGCTGAGTGGTTGTTCTCATAACTCCAACATTCCAGAGCACTAAGATGGTGTGACATTACATTTAAATTCAGGCAATTTTGTAACCACTCATGCCATAAATTCCGAGCTAGTAGCTTTATAGTAGTAACTCCTGGGAAGCTAGCTGTTCTGTTGTCAGCGACCTGTCCCAAACCACAAATGTAGATGTATCAAAGATTTGCTGAAAGAGAAGGTATTTAATAAACATCAACAGCGTTACTCTTTGAGCTGCAGTGTCGGTGAAAGATCTGAAAGGTCTCATAATTTCGACTAATTTTGTTGTGTTTATTTATTTATTTATTTATTTACATACCCTCAAGGCCCTGGGGGCGTTACAGAGGGGAGTGAGTGAAAAAAAAAAAAAAAACCAGTAATCAAGACATGGAATAGGTCACGGTTCACTTTCGCAAAAATAATTAGTAACAGCACTTTTAAACACATCTAACGAGGGTAATAATATTAATGACGCCGGAAGGTGGTTCCACTCTGATGATGTCCTAGGAATGAAAGAATCGTGATAGGCTGAGGTTCGAGAATGAGGAATGCCGACTTTGTACTGATGATCAATGCGTGGAGAAACGTAAGGTGGGACGAGGAAGAGCTTTTCTTTAAGAATGGGGTTAGAATTATATATTTTATAGAAAAGACATAGACGAGAACACTTACGGCGCAAAGAAAGCAGTGGCAAGGAGAGAAGAGATTTCATGGATGATACACTAGCTGTACGGTGATAGTTGTTAAGTATGAAACGAGCGCTGCGGTTCTGAACTGACTCGAGGTGAGAAGTGAGCGTCGTCTGACCAGGATCCCAGATTGAAGCTGCATACTCCAATTTTGAGCGAACCAAAGATTTGAATAATATTAGTTTGAGAGAAACTGGTGCTGGAGAAAAGTTACGTTTTACGTAGCCTAACATAGAATTGGCATTAGCAATGATGTGGTTAATATGAATATGCCAGGAGAGGTTAGAAGTAATATGCACACCGAGGTATTTATATGAAGTCACACATTCTAAAGAAACGTTATCAAGATGATAGATAAAAGGCGTAGTGTTACGGCGAGACACTTTCATTGTTTTACATTTTTTAGTATTAAGTGTCATGGACCACAGCTTGCACCAATCAAGAACAGCATTTAAGTCGTTTTGAAGAAGGAGAGAGTCAGAATCATTAGTAATCTTACGATAAATAACGCAGTCATCCGCGAATAAACTAAGCGATGATGAGACACACAACGGCAAGTCATTGATGTATATGAGGAATAACAAAGGACCGAGAACGGAGCCTTGAGGGACGCCAGAAGTAACAGAAGACACTGAAGAATTAGAGTTATTTACATGAACAAACTGAGAACGATTTGTAAGAAAACACTCAATCCAAGTTAGTATCTGAGGGTCGAGGTTGAGTTTGCTAAGCTTGAAGAGTAGTAGTTGGTGAGAAACTTTATCAAATGCTTTGCTGAAATGAAGAAAAATACAGTCAACCTGGGATCCATGATCAAGTAATGAAAATAAATCGTTAGTAAAGACGAGAAGTTGTGTTTCGCAAGAAAGAAATTTACGAAAGCCATGCTGTGAGGACGAGAAAAAAGAGTTGGATTCGAGATATTTAACAAGATGTGAATAAATAATATGCTCTAACATTTTACAAGGAGTACTGGTTATGGAAATGGGTCTATAATTGTCGGGGCAGTGTTTGTCGCCTGATTTATGAAGTGGAACCACCTTGCCAGTTTTCCAATCTTCAGGAAGGACACCAGTAAGAATAGATTGCTCAAAAATCTTAGTAAGAAAAATTGCACTGTAAATTTTAGTATGCTTTAGAAACTTAGTGTTAATATTATCAATACCACATGATGAAGACACTTTGAGGTTGTCAATCAGCTTAACAATGCCATCAAAATCAAACACAAGCGGGTCCATTGGAAAGAAATCATGATTAGGGTAAGTAACAATAGAACAGTTTACATCCCTAGAAAACGATTGGACAAACATCTCGTTGAGGATTTTCGCAGAGTCATTGTCAGACATAACAATGCCATCAGAGTCATACAGCAAAATAGCCTTGTCTTTCTTGCCATTAATAACACTCCAAAACATTTTGACACTAGTTGATAACAGACGGGGCAAGATTTGGCTGAAGAAAGTTTGTTTAGCGTCCTTAATTGCATTTTTGTATAAATTTTCTGCGTTGTGGTAAACCGTCCAGCTCTCAACTGTGTCTGCACGCTTAGCAGTGCGGAACAGGCGTTTCTTTTTATTTGAAAGCCTTTTCAAGGCATTATTAAACCATGGGGACGTGGAGCTATTAGTAAGAAAGCGACGTGGGACGAAAGAATTGATAAGGGAATTGACTTTATTTTTGAACATTGTCCAATTAACCTCGACAGAGCGTTCGGAAAAATTGGATAGGAAGAAGTCAAGAAATTGCGCTAACTCGCGGTTTATACCCTCAAAATCAGCTTTGCCATAATCAAGAAAAGAGTTATTCTTCGCTTTTGCAAAGGCAGATACAGGAGCGGTTAGGTGAAAGTGAAGTAAACAGTGATCGCTGATGGCAGGTAAATACGTAAGAGAGGATGCAAGATCAGGTGCGGTAGAAAGAATAAGGTCCAGCACGTTCTCAGAAGTTGCCGTAACACGAGTCGGCCTAGTAACTATCTGCGTTAACGAAAAATCGGAGCAGAGACTTAAAAACTCGGAACACGCAGCAGAATTTGAAGATATGGTAGGATATAGACCAGACCAGTCAATGCCGGGGAGGTTAAAATCGCCCAAAAGAAACAAAGGCAAGGCAGGAAACCTTGTACGAATTGTATTCATAGCATCGTGTAAATCTATAAAAAAGTTTGCTGTGGCATTGGGAGGACGGTAGCACGCGCACAAAATAACCTGTTTATGGCTAAAACGCAAGCGCACGCCAATAAACTCAAGAGATGTAACAATGTTGATAAGACAAGACTCAATGCTATCATTTACCGCGATTATGACACCACCACCACGCCTAGATAGCCTATCGCATCGATAAAAAGAGAAACGCTTCTCGCAACAAAAAATTTCGCTGTCGCGTACAACACTAGATAGCCAAGTTTCAGTGAGTACAACAATGTTGGCGAGTGAAGAATCGATGGCTGAAGACAAGTCATCACGATTGCGAAGAACACTTCGAATGTTGGTGAAAAGCACTGAAAGATAAGGACTAGGATTGTTCCGTATCAGGTTATGTTATTGTGATGACGTTGACAAATCAACCACAGGGTCAGCATTAACATGAATGGAACTCGTGCTCGGCGTGATAAAATCGCGGACCTCACAAACGGCATCGCTGGCCGCGCAGTAAGAAAAACATTTGTCATCAAAAAACACTTTGTTATAGCGTAGACTAAAAGACTGTGTATGAGCCTTAGCAAATTCGAGCAGCTTTCTTCTAGCAAGACGAGTGGCAGGGGAAAAATCCTCTGCGACGGAAGTGGCACTACCGCGCAGTTTGCCTCTGGAGGAAAAAACATGGTCTTTCGTTTTGAATAATGAGAATTTCACTAAAACTGGCCGACATTTACTGGGGTTAAAAACACGACCGAGCCTATGTGCACGGATGATACCCTCAGGGGGAACGATGATCTTCATTTCGTTTGCAATGATGTCACGTACTTTGCTTTCAGATACAGCCCAGGTCTCAGAGTTTGAGTCGGGAACACCGTAAAATATTAGATTATCTCTTCGAGACCTGTCCTCAAATTCATCAAGACGTGATCGCAGACTGGCGTTCTCGCGTGACAGGAAGGTTACAGTTTCTTTTACATCTGTCAACTCACGCTCCAAAATATCTAAACTGGCTATCTTTGCTTCCACAGTACTAAGCCTCCCTTGAATATCGGTTACCATTAATTCAATTGACTCTTGCCCAGTCTTGATAGCTTGAATATCCTCCATGATTCGGTTCTGTCCAGCTTCAAAATTTGCCTGACGAGCGTTTAAGCCTCTCAGTAAAACAAGCATCTCACTCATCTCTTTTGTCTGAACTTCTTTCTTATCTGGGCCAGGATTAAGTTCAATATCACCAGACAGGAGAAGCTTAAGACCCGAAATACATTCACAAGAACATAAAAACAGCACTTGTGGGCATGGGAACACCAGTAGACAGAGGTTGTTGGACTTTTTACAATGCAAAGAGGGAAACGGACCAACCTGTACGAAGAAAAAGCAGAAAGCGTTAGCTGACTGCATGACTGGCTGTTCCACATGCCCACTGAAGGGCCGAGGGGCGTGCCGGCAGTTTAAATCCAGTGACGATGTCAATGTCGATGCCGTTGGACTGCTGTGCTGAGGCGACGTGACGATTGGGAGTGCAGCAGAAACCCAAGGTTGCCGAGAGGAGTAGATGTCTGGTTGTGGCAGCACGGAAACTTGCGGCAAGCGCGCTCCCTCCAAGGCATACCACGGGCTTGATAGGGCCGGACAGCCGCGAAACATCGCCGTGAACTGTACGAAGAAAAAGCAGAAAGCGTTAGCTGACTGCATGACTGGCTGTTCCACATGCCCACTGAAGGGCCGAGGGGCGTGCCGGCAGTTTAAATCCAGTGACGATGTCAATGTCGATGCCGTTGGACTGCTGTGCTGAGGCGACGTGACGATTGGGATTGCAGCAGAAACCCAAGGTTGCCGGGAGGAGTAGATGTCTGGTTGTGGCAGCACGGAAACTTGCGGCAAGCGCGCTCCCTCCAAGGCATACCACGGGCTTAATAGGGCCGGACAGCCGCGAAACATCGCCGTGAACTGTACGAAGAAAAAGCAGAAAGCGTCAGCTGACTGCATGACTGGCTGTTCCACATGCCCACTCTTTGTTAATTTGTTTCTTTCACCAATTTCATTGTTTCCCTGCCTGACTTTATGGAATTTGTGACTATGATGACTTTTTGACTGTACGATGCAGAAAAGGGAAAAACAAAAGACAAAGTTGCACGTCGCTTGCTCAGGGTTTCTCGGAGAAGATGGGACTCGAGTCTGGCTGGAACTGTCACGTGTCTCTGCTAAGTGAGAGGCACAGGTAAGTGCATGCCATCCCAACAGTCTTTTTATGCAACTTAATTCATAGGAAAAAATATTAAAAAAAAAAAAATTTTTCATTTTTTATTTGATTGTGTTCTTCCTTCCATATTTCCGCTAAAATGTGCACCATCTCACTACTCCTCTATGCTGTATTATGTCGCAATTATTAAACAAACCGATTTATAGTGTCCTTTCGAAGAGCCAACATGCTATCTGGCCACTCTGTATATTTCTAACTGATACTTATGATGAGTATTGTTGGGATTTTGTTTACGCAACTGAGACTTATGATGAGGTTACCATATTGGTAGAGATGCTGCTTACACAACGAAATACTTACGACCAAGTGTCGTAGAAACTAAGCATGCGCGAATAGTGGATTTTGAGTTTGAAGTGAATTCAAAGTGAACGGTGGTTTTAGTAGGATATTTCCGAATCGAGTATCGAATATTTTCTTCATGCTGTTGCACCATGCTTAAACGAAAGTCCAGCTGAACTCGTGAAGGTTGTTCCCTATCTTCTTGTCTATTTCTAAGCTAAATTATAAATAGTATATTTATGGACTGTGACTTCAAAATGTCCAATGCCTACATCGGGATGGTGAGGATGGGCAGATTGGACATAAAGTTAAATCTATGTGGGCAGAACCTGAGGGAGAGGAGGAAGCAATAGCGCACGGGGATGTTGGAACAACAAACTCTGGTTGGAAGGATTAGTGGGTATAGGCAAAGCTAGCTGCTTTTGTCTCCACTGCACACGTCGACACGTCGGAATGCGGAACTCTGGCATTTGGCTTTTGCGTTCGAATGCAATCGACAAGTGCTGTGGAAACATAGGCAGCTAGCTTTCCCTCCACCCACTAATCATTTCAATCGGAGCTCAACGTTCTGGTGTGCCCGTGCATCATCGCTTCCTCCTCTCCCTCATTTGCTGTCCGCATAGGGATGTTCAGCTATACCTAATCGAGGGGATTTATAAATCTTGATATGGGAAATATCCTTTCTTCAGTCTCGAATTTGAAGAAAAAAATTGTCTTAGATAACGAATGCAGGTTGTCGAGGCATATCTGCTTAACATGTTTGCCTAATAGCCGCATGATGAAAAAAACAGCGCACAAAGGAGAGGACAAGGAGGAGACACACATAGAACACACAAGCGCTGACTCGCAACTCATATTTATCGAAGGAATAAAAAAACAATCTTTGTATGTAAAAAAGGGAGAGAAAAGGATGAATCACAATGCATCCACACTATGAATATTTACAAAAATGTTAAATGTACAAGGGCACACATGCAGGACAGATCACAGGGTTCAGGTAACACTTACTCGTTAAAAGGACTGTCTAGAAAGAGCACTTCCTTCTCATATGGCATTATTGATGACTTGCTGATACAACACTTCCTTAATCTTGCTATATGGTATGCTTCCAGGATTTCTCTGGTAGTCTGATCTGGAAATATTCCTAAAAGTGTTTGCTCAAAGTTTGGTGTGCATCGGCAGGCCTGATAGTGCAGTGGAAGGTGTCGCCCTACGGTGGCCTGAAGGAAATAGCAGTGTTCTTGGAAGCGGTCGTTGACACACCAATCTGTCTGTTCTACATAACTTTTACCACACATGAGGGGTAATTCATACATGACATCTTCTGTGCATGGAACTAATTGTCACTGATATTGCTTCGTGTACCCAGGTTTTGAGCGCTTCTCTATTTTAAAGCGCACTTGAGAGCGAACTCTGGCGTAATAGCCACAGTTTAATTTAAAAAATTTTACTGCAATGCAAGTATCAACATTCACAAAGTTACGGCTTCTTTTTAAATACACCAGGTACGCACGTGCGCCATCTTGCATTGAAAGTGTGCTTACCCCTTATGCACGCGACTGCAATGTTTATAATTTTTGAAATGTTGATCAGCCCCGTCAAGCACGCTTCTCACCAAGCTCCGGTGCGCTGCGGAGAAGCAACACCTGCAGAGCTCGCTCCCGTGGGTGTTGCTTCTCCGCAGTGCACCCATGCTCGGTGAGAAGCGCGCTCGACAAGGCTTATTGCCGCGATCAACACTCAGCAAAATAAGAATATCACAGTTTATCTCGACGCGAATATCGAATAGCCTATTATTCAAAACTATTTTTCGACAATTGGAATATTCATATAACGCTAGTAGAGACGTTGCTTACATAATGTAGGCTTGCCACAAAATTGAGTGTCCCATCAATTGTTGCAGGACAGACAGCAGTGCTTCCACGTGCCATCCTTCGCAGACGTCGGCACGTAGCCTTGTCTCTGCGCCGTTGACCGATCTGGCGACACAGAAAGACCACCACGGGAGCTGCCCTACCGAAGGCAAGACTGCCGGCGTGGGTATACGCTATTTTCGTACTGACGTTTCCTGGTGTTGGTACCACTTTGACAAGTTATGGCTGTGTGCTGCAAGCATCTTGTCTTCCTTTTGTGTGTGAGTGTTGTTTTGATATAATGTGTGTTCCTTTTGTAGTTGTGTGATTTTTCATGAGACTCATTTTTGGTTTCGCAGTAGTTACAATTTTTTTTTTCTTTATGGAGTCGTTACCTTGTTTTCTTTTATCGAATTTGAGTGTAGTAATCTTTGTGTCTTTTTAGAACCAGTTGGGATCTAATGCATATCTTAGCTTTGTGCAATTTCTCAGGTTTTTCTTCAAGCTCTTGTTTTTTGCTTGCCTGGCTTCTTTGATAAATTTTTTACCGTAATATCTGAGTCATCGCCCACCCCACTTTTTTGGGTGAATATCGATTTCCAAAAAAACACTGAGTGATCACCCACGCTTAAAAATACCTTAATGCGTACTCCGCGATCAATGAACATTCATCCTACCTGAATAACGCCGCCACGGGCCTTACAGTCAGAGGACGTCTGTGACAAAGTAAAACGAAAGAGGGAAAGACACTTCTCTTTGTGTACGCATTTCCTCCCCGACTTGCACGACCCCGAAGTCGTAGCACATATGTGTGCGACAAAAGAACGATGGAGATAGCAAAATGAAACTTTGTTTTGCTTACAAAAAAGTTTGTTTGGACAAAAAAAAAATGAAGTCGGAAAGATAACACAAGCGGTAACCCATTCAGGGACCGTGAGGTCAGCGAACACCCCATTTCCTGGAATGTAACTGCGGAGTGCAAGGTGAGAGGCGTCGCGAGTGTAGTTGGTAACATTGTGCAGTGTTTAAGACAAAGTCAACGGGTAAATAAAGATTAGGTGGAACGCCGCACACAGACGTTAGTAGAGCGTCCCATTCCATGTTCCGTGTTCATGGTACCGTCCACGCCACACAGCAACGCCGCCTCAACCCACGTTGATAGCACGCCGCGCACGGACACATGCATGTATGCACTAAACAAGAAAGTTGCACAAGAGCCTTCTCCTTGCGATTAACAAGGTGCGGGACGCCAAACTATTTGCTAATGCGATCGCGAGCTTTCCCGCTTCCCCAGCATCGATCTTCGTTGCTCCTTTCTTCTGCTCGCTCGCTCGCTCGTTCGTTGCACCTGGTTGGTTTTTCTATTTCCTTGTTGAATTTTGTTTTACTAATGAAGAGAACATAACGGTGTTAGAAACATGCTTTCATGGAACAAATGTTCACTCTGTATGCTGACCGGCAGTGTTCATCGCACATATGCAAGCAACGAACTTTGCATGGTAAGACATTCTTTTGTGGGCATTTCTTCCATGAAACAATGAAACTAATTCGAGTTTTGAGTTAAATGTATCTCTTGTGCAGTTGCTCTAAATACATACAGAAAAATGGGCATTTATATAGTTTTTTCTAAAGTTTTTGTGCTTACCCACCAAGACATGGCCCACCCCACTTACTTTTATGAATTTCAGGTGGTAGGGGGAGTAGGTGATGACTCAGCATATTATGATAACAACATTTTGCACTTCTCTTTCTATAACCTGGCATAGTTGCACGCGTATAGTGGATTTTGAGTTTGATGCGAATTCAAAGCAAATAGTTTTATATTTACATCCAACAACATCTAGAGAGTATTCCCAGAAAGTTTTGTTAATTTACACTGCATAGTTAACTTTTTATAAATTATTTTCTGTCCACTGATGCGAAAGAAAAGGTAGAAGCTGGAGCGCTTTGAACATATTTTTCTCCATTCCACTTTTTGGCATAAATTTCACTTTAGGAAAAGTAACGTTTTGTTATTACGTAACTTGGATTCATTTTTATGAGTTTTTCTGGGTTGAAATTTTAAGGGCAAGATGACTATGAGCTTGTATTTTTTATTTTTGTAATTTTTCATGTTCAAGAACAAAAAACTTTGGACAAAGGATGGAAATCTAAAAAAGAGTATTTGTGTTTATGTGGCTTTTTTTGTCATGAAAGATGGTATAATATAGAAATATAGCGCTATATCTATCTGATTAAAGATTAAAACAGCGCAAGGACACGGACAAGAACAAGAAGGTAGACAAACAAGGCGCTGACTTACAACTGAAGTTTATTCGTTCTAACAGTGAGTATAAATACTGTATTGTCACAACAAACAAACATGAATAAAAAGCTTGACTTGGATGCCACGTGCTCACTAGCCATCGCTATGCACTGTCACTGTGTGTCTAAATAGGAACGTTCCTTATCCGATAAAGATAGTGACGGAGTGCTGACACAGTTTTGCCCCAATCTTCCAATTTCGCGCGCCTCAATGATTTCCCGAGTGAGTTTGTCTTTATTTTTCCTAACCACTTCACACTTGTCAGAGACGGGAGCGCAGCAACAGTCTCGGCAGTGCAGGCCAAGGTGACCTGACACAACTCTAAACACGTTATACTTGTGCTCCCGCAGCCGATCATTGAGGCATCGCCCCGTTTGCCCGACGTATCTCCTGCCACACGAGAGGGGAATAGAGTACACTACTCCCTCCACACAGTCTACGAATTGGTCCTGGTGTTTTTTGGTGCAACCCCGCTTTTCTTTAGAACAGGAGTTCACTTTTCTGCACAGCCCAGATAGCTTCTCTGGAGCCGAAAAAACCACATCAACTCCAACCCTACCGCCAACTTTCTTAAGGTTGTGAGATATCTTATGGAGGTATGGTAAAACAATTACTTTTTTGTTAACTTTGTAAACACCAGGACCAATTCGTAGACTGTGTGGAGGGAGTAGTGTACTCTATTCCCTTCTCGTGTGGCAGGAGATACGTCGGGCAAACGGGGCGATGCCTCAATGATCGGCTGCGGGAGCACAAGTATAACGTGTTTAGAGTTGTGTCAGGTCACCTTGGCCTGCACTGCCGAGACTGTTGCTGCGCTCCCGTCTTTGACAAGTGTGAAGTGGTTAGGAAAAATAAAGACAAACTCACTCGGGAAATCATTGAGGCGCGCGAAATTGGAAGATTGGGGCAAAACTGTGTCAGCACTCCGTCACTATCTTTATCGGATAAGGAACGTTCCTATTTAGACACACAGTGACAGTGCATAGCGATGGCTAGTGAGCACGTGGCATCCAAGTCAAGCTTTTTATTCATGTTTGTTTGTTGTGACAATACAGTATTTATACTCACTGTTAGAACGAATAAACTTCAGTTGTAAGTCAGCGCCTTGTTTGTCTACCTTCTTGTTCTTGTCCGTGTCCTTGCGCTGTTTTAATCTTTAATCATGAAATACCAACTAGCCCAAACTTCTACTTTAGTCAACTATATCTATCTACTCTGAACTGTGCTAAAGCAATATAACCCATGAAAACAACAAATTTAATAGCAATTTTAATAGGATAGTTTGCCTACGCAGGCACGCCCACTTTCATCTTTGAACATTTGCAATTGTTTTTGTACTTCACCCAGGTTAACAAAATTTGGCAGAAATGTTCTCAACATCAACAGAAACAAGCCATGTAAATGTCATTTAAATGGGACAAGTGGCTCAAATATTCACTTTTTTGGGTAGTGTCCCCCGTTAAATAAAAATTCCGCTGAACTTGCGAAGGTTGTTCTCAATTTTCCACTCGTCCGCTTCTAAACTAAGGTAATATAACTTAATTTATGAACTGTGTTATGTAAACAACCAATTTGTTATAGCCATCCCAATCGAGAGGATTTATAAATCGGCTTGCTATATGGCAAATATTCTTTCTTTTTTTTTCAAATGTCAGGACTTTTCTGCCTAACATATATTCTCACATAATTGTGGCGAGTTAGCCTTTTTGCGCGTACTACTTCTGTGCACTGCACGGAAGCAATACCTGCGGAGACTACAATCTTTGTGCTTATTGCTTCCACGTAGTGTGCAAGTGCTCGGTGACAAGTGCACTAAAAGGGGCCAACCCGCCGCGATCAACACTTAGAAAATTATGCATATCACAGTTAACCTCTAAGTTAATATCGAATAGCATATAAGTCTAAACTACTATAGAAAATTTGAATATTCACACTACACTACGTCAATATTTTAATAGAATTTGGTATCTACTACCGTTAGCCTTTTCTCGAATCGAGGTACTATTTGTGTTTGCCTATGATGTTCTGAGGATTTGGTTTTCAGCTGACGAGTCTAAAATATGTGAAAACCGCTTGTATTCAACTCGCTCCGAGCTCTAAATATTCGAATTTGAGTGCAATGCAAATTCAAGCATTTCATATTTGAGTATTCCACATGTCTCAATTTAAGAACTTTTTAGTCATATGCACCTGAATTCTGTCACTTCATTTCCGTATTCTAGGTGACCATCAATTTCATAGTTTCATATCTTGCAGCATATAAAGCATGTTTATTTTAAATGGAGCAAAGATTTCTCAGTGGTATTTTTTTTTCACATCATTGGCACACAGTCATACATGTCCTGTTGAAACCGGATTTCCTTAGGGTCCACCTCGGAGTGTCAGCGCGCCAAACCTATTCCATTCTCTGACCACGACTCGCCGCCACGAGGATTCACCGCAGTCACGGTAGGCACCGCACATCATTGCCTTCGTTTTGTCGAGTCTCATAAGATGTCAACTGTTTTTAACTGGTTTTAAGCATGCAACTAAAGTCAGGCTTAGCCTAAACACCAGTTCTGCACACCCAAACGATGAGGAGATGTCGACACTGACAACAAATGCACCCGTCAGGATGAAGAGGGCATTGCAGTAGCAAAGAGGAGGTTAGAAGACTGGTGAAAATTATCCAGGGAGGATCGAGACAAGGAAACAGGGAACCAGTTTTCTTCCTGAAGCTCGTGCATCGTACAAAGGACAGTGTTTGTCGGAGACACGATGACGGAATCGTCTGCGGACGTTCGAAGCAAGTTTGCTTCGTACGTACGTATGCTTCGAACACGCCTGTAAACAGTATTTGTACGACCGACACGGCGGGACGTCGTACGAGGAAGAAGCACGCCTCGGACGGCGTCTGCGGCCCGTCTTTTGCACGATGCGCGAGCAGCGGCAGCAACGACGCGAGCCGTCGGCCGACGGAACCGCACCGGCTCGCAGGACGAGCGCCGAGGCACCGGAGATGGGATGCGTGGCAAAGAGCGTCACGGAGGCGGAACCTCTCTGGACCCAGGGCGACTCCGCGTGTCCCTCACCGAGCACCGCCACGGAGAGCAGCACCGACCGCGGAGCACCCGTCGCCTTTGACATCTCCAATCGGGTAAGTTGAGTTGCCCTCGGCTGCGTTTGGAGCGCCGGAACCGAGCCGCTTTGATGCTACGCTTGGTGCGTCGCGGGGGTTGATGTGACGCGACATGACACTTGCAGCCGGTTGGTTACCCGTGGGCAACCAAGCGGCTGCAAGCCCCATTTCCCACGTTTCGAGCGCTAGAAATGGCGTGCATTATAACGATCTCGTGTTGCCGGTTCGTTTCTGCTTAGCACATGGCTCTGCTCTTGTGACGTAGTATTCACATAGCTTATGCTAATCTGTTTTCATTGGGTTGTGTGTTTCATTCTTAAGCTTTCCTTCGCAGATTTTTGTTACGTTAATCGCCTGTACGGCCATTCCGCCGTCACTAGGCATTTGGCGCGAGCCCATCGCTCGTGGATGCACCCCTGCTGCATGAGCTCTCGCTTAGCTGCTAAAAATAAAGCTACGAACCTTGGGATGCTCATCTTCGAAAATACCATCATTAAAATACAAGTAGTTTCACAGACTCCTACTATGAAAATTGTCAAGAAAGCTAAAATTGTCTTATAAAGAGACTTCTTTTCTCAAGACTTCACGAATGACAGTGTGCTTGCTGTTCTATTAAAAAAAATGCCAGCACATTAGTGGGGTGGTACCAATTTAATTCTTATCATCACATCAGGTCAGGGCCCAATGTACTCCAAAGCTAGACATCACCAAAACTGCGAGTTTACAAGAGAGCACGAGGTTCCTTCTCAAAAAAATATCTTGTCACCCCCCCCTTTTCACGATTAGTCTACCTAGTCCCCATACTCGAATGATTTGGGACCCCCGTTGGAACCCTAGTCAGAATCACTCGTGCTATGCTCGGTGTATCAGAACCCTAGTTAGAGAAACGCCTCCTGTATACCCTATGCCTGTTGGAAGGAGGAGAATACAGCGGTGGCCGTCGTCCAAGAAGCTGCATGCCGCCGTCGTCGCTTCGTGGTGGAGGCACCGCCTTCATTTGGGGCAACACAGAGGGCCTAGATTGAAGAATCTAGGCTCTTTTGCAATTTAAGGGCGGACAGCTTTCACGGCAATTGGCTGCAAGTGTACATGCGCTGCGTTTTCGCGCGACGAGGAAAGCACCAAGAAAGGCGGAGACATTTGCAGATGACGACGCATTCATCACCTCCTTGCAGCCAATGCATGAGTTGCCAACTACTTCATCGGATTCACACGATTTATGGGTCGCATTTGCAATACGAGCTCGCAAGGAGGTGACAATACCATCGATCATCTGCAAACGTCTCCGCCTTTCTACCTGCTTCCCTCCTCGCCACATGAAAATGCAATGCGTGCGCACTCGTGACCGATTGCTGCAAGGGATTTCCGCCATTAAATTGCAAGTGCTCCCCGTGTTTTTCAGACGAACCCCTCTTCAATCGGCTTTCCTACGTAGGCAGCGCCGTCTGGCGGTATACACGGGTTTCAGGAGAGGAGGAGGAATTGGTAAACACAACTGCCTCAGGGAGTGCTTCTGACAGATGTGGAGCATACGGGAGGCGTTGGTTAGACTCACTCTCGTGCTATGTTCGGGCTCCCCGAGCACTCGTTAGAGTCACTCTCTTGCTGCACTCAGTGTCAGGACCTTGGCTAGTCACTCTCTTGCTATATTCAGTGTATAAGAACCCTAGTTAAAAACACCCTCTCGGTTTATTCGAAGTACCAGGGCCATAGTTAAGAGTCCCTTTTGCACTACACTCAAAGCGTTGGAGCACATATTTCCTCCATTGTGACATTTCTTCACTCGCCGACGGTTTCTTGGCAACGTCTGTTTTGTTGCTAGGAGTCACACGAGCGCCGTTGTCAACTGTTATGGTTTCTCCTGGTGATGTCATTTTGCTCTGTCGCAGACCATTTTGGCAAGCGGGACAACAGAAAGTGCTTCGTGCACATTCTATCCGGTTATTGGCGAAAAAAGCAGCAAATAACACTGTCGATTCTATGCATCTTGTGTAAAGAAACAGTGGGAGGGCCATGTGGTTTTAGGATGCAAGCAGCTCGGTGCTGCCTTCCAGATAGGGGCAAGAAATCTAGTGTGAAACCTTATTTGGCTGGTTTGAAGATTGGTTGAAAGCATCTGAAGAAGTGTGAAATTTCCTGCAAATGAGGCGTTTGCGACGAAAGAACATGGTGGCACATTGGTGCTACCTATAGCTAGCCCTGGAATTATTTCCAATTTGTGTATGAAGTTTTTGCAGTAGTATTTGCGGAATCAAACATGCTCACTATTTATGAGAAATGGTTGTTTATAATGGTGTCGGAAGTTTTCCGACCCAGGGTAAAAGCATGATGCACAAAAATATTATTTAAAAAATGCACGGAGATTCGAAAATGTTTAAATTGGCTCCCCGATAGATGGTGTCAGAGTATTGTAGCACCCTTGGTCACAGCCTTGAAGGGGTGCTCCGGTGATTTCGCTTTTAGCGAAGAAAAGCCACGGAAAAAAATTGGCGGCTTTGCTTTTTGGTTTTACAAATTTCTAGACAGCCCCCTCTCCTGAAACGTGACAAAAGCACGTCTCTCATGAAGAAATTCCGGAGTGCCCCTTCGACAAGGTCGATTAGACCGCTCTTTCTCGCTTTGCTTGGACGTTGGTGCGACTGAGCTTGGGCGTTCCCCAGGCGAAGCTGCCCCGGGGCATTGAGAACATCCGGCCGCACATTGAGAATGTGGACAATGTGCCGCTGCTGGTGTCCCTGTTCACGGACTGCACCCCCGAGGCCACCCTGGAGATGGTGCGCATCATGCAGGAGTATGGCGAGGTCGTCTGCTGCCTGGGCAGCGTGGCCAGCCTGCACAACCTGCCCGTCTTCCTCCAGGCAGACTGCAGGTGGGGGACCCTAGGGAAGCCCTCAGCGACCTCCCGGGAACTCTGCGTGTCTTTCTGGAACCTGATTGTCTCTTCCCCCGTAGCGTGGACTGGTTTCTCTCATACATGACTCGCACGTGACGTCGGTCGGCCCCTCTTTCTGGTGGCCGGAAGTCAAAGCCAAAGCGTTTATTGGCATTGGTGTCTGTAGGGCCGAGCACCCGAGGCAGCTCAATAATGCAGCAGAAGCTACCCTCTCGCACACCCTTTCCCCCATTGTACAAGGTGTTCCACGTAACTGTAGCCAAAGTTTGAAAATAGTTTGGCACATTTTAGGAAAACGAAACCAAAGGAATAAGTTTGCTCATTGTCTGAACCAAGTCAGGCTATTTTTTGTATTCTACCGAATTAACTAATTAATTAAGGTTAGGTATTTAACTTACTAAATATTCAATTTAGAGCAAAAGTTACAATGACAAAGTTGTTGAGTGTCCTTAGAAACATCCAATTCAGTTGTTTTTATGAAGAAACCGTTATATGGTTCTTTTTAGGGCTTTAAAAAACCCCGCAAATTACAAAAAACAAAACAAAAAAGCATGGGACTTCCCGTTGCGCGCTTTGTTCTGCAGCACTTTCAGCCTTGGCTCAAATAAACTAGGCCCGCATGCTGAATGGAGCACTGTTGACAAGGTGCCGTTGACAGATCCACCTATTTTCATCTTTTTTTTTTTTTCATAATTTGCTCACTTTTTTTAAGCTTGGAAAAATGAATTGTGTTAGAGATTTCTCCACAAAAGCGACTGAATTGGATGTTTCTGAGGATTTTCCACAACTTTTCTGTTGGAAATTTCGCTCTGAATTAAATATTTCAAAAGTTCATAAATGAATCGTAATTAATTAGTCAATTGGGCAAAAGTACAAAAAATGCCTGACTTAGGCCAGAATTCTCCACAACTTTTCCGTTCGAAATTTGCTTAAATTAAATATTTCAAAAGTTCATAAATGAATCGTAATTAATTCGTCAATTGGGAAAAATACAAAAAATAGCCTGACTTGGGCCAGTCGATTGGGCAAAATACAAAAAAATAGCCTGACCTGGGTCAGACTTATTCCTTTAGTTTTGTCTTTCTAAAATGAACCGGGATATTTTTTAACTTTGGCTAAAGTTACGTGGAACACCCCGTATCTGACCAAGTTGTTGTTGATTACGGGCTTTATGACGCAAAGCTACTATGGCCATACTGCGCCGAGCTTGATATCTGACCAAGTGACGTCAGTGCAAGGTGCGCATGGCTTCATCCCGGTAGTGCTGCAGTCGCAGATGCTTTGTCCGCTGACCAGACGAAATCACGCTTTTAACCAGCGTTCTTTGATCTATTGTATGACAAGCTGCGCGGAAGAGCGTCGTTTGAAAATGGTCCTTCTCCGTTGACCACACAGGAGCAGATACGGGCAGATGGTGATCCTAGCACCAGCAGTGGGTGGGGCTAGGATCACCATGGACAATGGAGAAGGGCCGTTTTCGGACAACACTCTCTTTGCGCAAATGCATGGCCAAACAGATGGATGCCCGGATACAATTTTGGAATTGGCTGTTCTGTTAAGCAGCATTTCATGCCTCGAAAAATTCGGGCTGAACCAACTATGTTGCTGTCTAATTAAGCGATTAGCTGCAGACGTAATTGAACGAGCAGGTCGGGTGTCAATTTTCTTAGCAGGGAAACTTAGTCTGTGCGTAGGTCACGGGACATCAAGCCATGTGACATCATTTTCCCACTAAATTTAGAGGGGAAACTGAATTGGTGTTGAGGTCACGTGACGTCAATTTTCCTGCTAATTCTACTGGAGAAACTGGATTTGTGTATAGATCACGTGACATGAAGTCATGTGACGTCATTTTGCCCCCTAAATTTAGCGGAAAAAATAATTCGCCAGACCTCAAAGTGGCCTGAAGATCCTAAGAAAGCTAATCGCTTATTTAAAAACCGGCAGAGTGCACCCCTCACCAACCGGGACGTTAACCGCGGGCTGCTACTCGTTTGTCCAGCATAGCGCTGGAGCCGCTGGCCCCGCAGCTGTGTGCGCGTCAACCGGCACCCGCCCCGCCCGAACAGCAGGACCCCTCGAACCCCAGGGGCTGGCAGCCGTCTCCGTGGGCCCTGGGTCACGCCCTGGGGTCCCTGCCCTGCGTGCTCAGCGCCCGCAGGGAGGACCGGCTCAGCCTCTACCACCTCATCTGGGAGGTGAGGGCAGAACAGAGGCCTTGGCCTTTAACTAGGGATGTCATGAACCACTCTAGGTTCGAATTCAAAAGGTTTCGATATTTTCGAACCGAACTGAGGTTCGAAATCAAAAGCTTTCAATATTTACGAATTGTACCAATGTTTGAATCGAAAAGCTCGCAATTTTCTAACACCGTGGAGTTTCGAATTCGAAAAGTTCTAAGCTTTCACGGTTTCTAAAAGTTTGGGTTCGAATATTTCAAATATTTTTTTACTTGAGGTTCGAGAAATTCGAAGGTTTCTAACTTGAAATTCGAAAGATTTAAAAAATTATTATTTCTTGGGATCTGAAGTTCGAAGATTTCGAATTTGTTTGAATCTGAAGTGCGAAAAATTTGAAAATTTTAAATTTTCAAATTTAAAATTAAAATTTAAAGTTTGAAAAATGATAAAGTTCCGAATTTTTATAGACATAAAGTTTGAAATATTCGAAGATTTCAAATTTTTCGCTGCCTTGTGGAATTTTATCACAACCGAGAGTGAGGATACTTATGTTTCCTCCACTGGTGCCAACACATGCAATGCCAAGCTTCTATGCACAAAACTTGACCACGTGGGTAGCACATGCACTACCTACAGCGAGGAAAACAGAAGCGCCCCTGGCGGGGTTCTCACCGTGAATCAGCGTCCAGCGAATACTTCCTAAGGAAACGAGGCGTCTTTAACCGGCAACGATAATCTCTTTCAGGCGCGCCACTTTGGCCAGGCGGTGCGCAGCGCTCTCCAGTTCCTCCTCTGTTGTTGCCTGAGCCTCTGCCTGGTCCAGGCGCTGGGCGCCCTGCTCGCGCTGCCGCCACCGCTGTCTCCCGCACAGCTGCTGTGGCTTCTCTGCGCCCTCCTGCCGGCATTGGCGCTCGCGCTGGTGCTGGGGAGCCGGGCCCACGACGACCCGCGCGTCATGACCATCGCCACGGGGAAGAGCCACCCACAGGTCAGCCGCCAGGTGAGTTCGTCGACCCTACCCCACCCCACACCATACGCGACCGGTCGGACGAAGCGAAGACCAACCCTCTCCTTAGCCTTCTCCACACCTTCGTTGGCACCCACCCAATACCGTATGCTACCGGTCGCATGAAGCGAAGATCCGCCCTCTCCTTAGCTTTCTCCGCAGCTCCAGTGACTTGCACCAGTACTCGCTGAAAGTATGCGAACGTACCCGACGAGCTCCCCGTCCGTGTCTTGTCGGCATCTTCGGGGTTCGTCGTGCGCCCACCTAGCCGGTTCGACTTCCAAAACGAAGCAGACTGGCCCGACTGGATCCAAGAGATTGAAGACTGCAGATGGGCGTCTGGACTCGGCGTCAGCCCCGAAAACGTGCGAGTATGCACCGTTCCCTGTACTATGGGATGCCAAGCAAGGAAGCTTTTGAACTTGTTCCGGCTCGGAGACGCGGAAGCGACAAGTCACCGTACCGCCCGAGCGCGATTCGACGATTACTTCAGGCAGGTGCACAAGGCGGTCTACAACAGATGCAGGAGGCCTAAGGTTGACAGCACGGGTTCCTCCACTTCTAGAGCCAAAACAAGATGTAGAACGTCTTGTTTGTCTTGAGGTGGTGCAGTTATCGTACTCAAATTTTACGAGTGTCGGTTTTAGGGAAAAACATTTAAGCCTATTAAAACCCCCCCCCCCCCCTTTTTTTCCCCCATGTTTAGGGATGAAAACGGAAAAAACTGTCTGGTAGCTGTGTTACTTACAGACGGTATTGCACACGGTCGAATATGCTGGATCCACTTTCAGGTATTCATCTCAGGGAAGCTTTCACGTTTTGGCTTTATGTCTGGTATCATCCAGAAGGCTTCTGCCACTTTCCTCCCCGTGCCTAGGAAAAACATAAATTTTTTTCAAGGCTTAATGTTGTTTTCTTTTTAGTCCTACACTGATAAAATCTGAGTATACAGTCGTACCCAATCACAACGAAATAGGGTACAGCGGATGAACCCCCCCTGGACACGTGAAAATATTTTATGTGTATGCATGCAAAATATACCTCGCATAACGAACTACAGTAGACTCTCAGTAAACGGAACTCCAAGGGACCAAAAAAGTTTGTTCCATTTAACAGGAGTTCCGTTTACTAAGAGAGATGTAAAAAGTGCCGATTTTATGTGTGCACACTCTTTTAATACTCTTTTATGGATGTCTAAACACTAAACACACGTAGCTTGCCCTTGTCGTGCAGGATCCTCGTTAAGCTGCTTTTCGGGACGCCGTGCTTCGTCGCGAGCGCCGTCTTCGAGTATGAGCCGCTTTCGAAGTCAAGAATGACGTCCATCTTCTTTTCCAACGTCAGCGCATGGTGTGCCCACTTCTGTGTCGCCATTGAAACAACGGAGGCAAGGCCTCAACTTCGCGAGCGCTTACGAGCCACCGAAATTGGAAGACACCAACGCGGCAATGAAGCACGATAGGCACCACGACGGCAGGAACAATGCGGCTGTAACCTAGGCAACTCGAACAGAGACCGAACAACTTGATCAAGAACAGCAGTGTTGCATTCGTTGCGCCGACTACCAATGAGGCGAGGCCAACGAGGCTTGCGAGGCTAGAAAAGAAAAAAAAAAGAAACAGCCAGAACCAGAAAAGGCTGATGCTCATGGCAATGGGTCTGCCTGAAGTTCTATTTTAGGTTCCGTTTACACGGTGAAGTGCAAATTTTAGTTCCGATTACCGAAAGTATTTTTACCTTATCTGAATACAAAACCAACCAACTTACGGGCTACTGTTCCGTTTAAGCGGCAATTCCGTTTAAGCGATTTCCGTTTATCGAGATTCTACTGTATACACAATTGATATACAGTGCAATCCACTTATAACGATACCAGATGTAACGATGTACTGCTTATAACGATCAGTCTATCGAGTTTCTTGAATAGAAACAATCAGTTTCTAGTCCACATACAACGATAGTTGGTTATAGCAATTGAATTTGGTTTTTTTTTCGTTATCGTTATAAGTGGATTGCACTGTATCGAATTTCTTGCTCCTACGACCACAAGCAAACACGCGAGCTCCGGCATTTTGAGCGTTCAGCTTCCTTGCAATGCAGACTCAGGTTTCTCCTCACCTGGTACAAAGCCTCCACCCAGTTACACCTAGTCACACCCTAGCACTCTAGCGCCCTATCAGGTTTGAGATTTCTTAACAACCGTGGCGCTTTTCAGCCCGTCAACTCCGTTGTAACCGGTGCTTTTGGAGCAGACAGAATCTGGGTGCGCATGCAGTCAATGCATTGCAGACCGAGCATTGGCGTCGCAAACTGCACTTCTCTAGGCCTCCTGCAGCTTGCCATTTTGTTCCGTGATCTGGTGCGCTTCACGGTTCAAGGTGACAACGAAGCAGTGGCACGCTCTTCAGCTCTCTGACAGAGTGGATGTCATTACTGGACAATACGTCGAAACAACACTGACAAAACGAAGAAAAATCTAGACTGAATGTGGCGTAGCTAACCTTTGCATTATTCAAACAAAGTTCTGGTTCCCCTCGGGTTCAAATTAACAAGATTCCACTTAGTGAAATCCTTTGTCGGACAATACTATTTGCTATGTCGATTGTAGTGAAAAACAATCGGACGTTGCCACTGCCTTCAGCATATCTAATAGTATGTCAAGCACTCTCTCCATATAACGAACAAATTGTAAAAATTTGTTATAAGTGGGTTTTGCTATAACAGATTATTGGGTATATCGAGCGAAACCAGGCATTTTGTACACTTTGTTATAAATGGGTTTGACTGTAATGTATGCACCATCTAAATTCGCCTTCGTGAAAAGTTTCAATGCTCTCGATTTGATAGTTTATTTATATGGATTTCTTTTTATGTCCGAACAGCGCTCAAGAACGCTCTGTAGATTGAAGGTGTTTTATGGCTAGACAATAGATTGTGGTAGTGTGAGAACCAGCTCTTTACGTCAAACACAAAAAGGCGTGACGACTCGAAAACGCCCAGCTTCTGAAAATGCCCGAAGAGTTGGCTCTGGCTCTTTTGTAACGAGTGAACTTCTTTCATAATTTTTGCTTAACCCGTAGTTTTTGTTGTATAGAAATCTCTCTAGTGCCTGCACAGCCACTACAGGCTTACCGGAATATTTCCACAACTGAATACTTTTGAAAGTTTGAGCGCTTGTAGTAGCGTTTGAGATATACTGGTGTAGTGAGGATTTTTGTGTTTTTATCTTATGATCAGGTCTCTTAATAGCTACTACCAGAAGCTTGTGTCTGTGCAAATCTTTATGGTTCTTAGACATTTTAATCTCAAGGAACACCCATCTTTGTTGATCGATAGCCAAGCAACCCCTACCAGTTCTTGGTACGGATGCTGTAAAGCTGTGCAAAAGCCTGCGTACCTTTTAAACAAAAATATACATACTAAGGAGTGTTTCGTTCATTGTTACTGCATTAATGGATGGCTCAGATCATGTTTAAACCTAATTGTACACTCTGGGAAACCCAAGGGACCCTCAGAGTAGAGGTCTGCACGGGTACAAGCCAGCCCGCAGGCCACGGACTGGACTCCGGCTTCACAGCTACATTATTGTAGGGCCCGGGCCGGGCACGGGCCTTGCATACAAGTCTACAAGGCAGGCCAAAACAAGCCAAGCCGGCCGTTATTTTTTTGTTTTTTTTCTAGCAGCAATGTTTTTGGAATATTTTTCAGAGGGATTACAGTGGGGGAGGTCCAAATGCTGAAAGCATTTGTGCGTTTGTCTGTGTGTTTCTATGGCTCGGTGTCCATGCACGGAATGCTCTCCCAGGCACCGGCGCTGCGGCGCCGGTGTCATTCAATCGCTTCTCCCCATCGACACGCCATCTGTACGTACGAGATGTATACATTTACAGTTCTGGTGAAGTTTCCCCTCAGGGGTGCTCTCCTAAACAATTTCTCACAGACCAATGCAAAAAACGACAATATTTTTTATAATTTTTTTTTCGGTTGTAATTTAGAATTTTGCCTGTCTTTTGTCTGAACCTGTCTTGACATTTCCCTTTCTTTGCAACTTTGGCACATGGTTTTGTTTACTGTTGCTTGCCATTTTTATTTTTCAGTCCTTTTTAACACGCGTGCTTGCTCACAAAAAAACAATGATAAGGGTGATTTTTTTTATTGATTTTTTTTTTTTTAACGAGCTGTTTAGGCTTGCACATTGGTTGGAGTAAGAATAGCAGCAAAATAAAAAATAAAAGACGTTTACAATTCCCTGCAATGCCAAATTAGAGTGCAGCTCTTAAAAAGGAGGAGGGGAGGGGTGAGAGGAAGGTATTCCCCTTTTCCTCCTCCCCCTCTTCTCCTCCCTCTCTCTTCCTCCATCCTACTCTCATTCTCCTCCTCTCCCTCCCTCCTTCCTCTCTCGTGACTTCACTCGTGACCTTCGTGATGTCACTCGTGAAGACCGCATAAGGTTGTGACCTTCACTGTGAAGGTCATTACCCTTTTTTGTGACCTTCGTGAGTGACCTTTGTGACCCTCATAACCTCACACGTGATGTCATTATGGGAAACGTCCCAAAATGCAACACGTGGTTGCGCCGACGGCGGCACCACTCAAGTCAAAAACAGACGCCTAAAAGCTGCGCTCTAAAAGATGCTTACTTCAGTGCATATGCATGGTACCATAGTCAACATGCATAACTGCCGCACAATTTGTGAGCTATTCATACTGGGTGGAAATAGAGCACGCTTCAGCGGGCCCAGGAAAATTAGCCACGGGCCGGGCCGGCCGTCTAAAGTCGATAGCAGTCCACGGGCGGGCCCAGGCCAAAGAAACAGCAGTGCCAGCTGGGCCGGGCTCCTAAATATAGGCCTTTGCAGACCTCTACCTCAGAGTATCTTCATCCGTGTCCCCAAGTAAAGCTTCTGCCAGTTTGGACCCAATCCGAGCCACCCATTAACGGACAACTATGAACCAAACGCTTTCTCCTATGTGCACTACTCTTTACAAAGTCTACAGGCTTTTGCATTGCTTCACTACCTCAATACTCAGATCGGTAAGGGGCTCTATAGGCTGTCAATCAAGAACAACATGCATTCCTCGAGATAGGAAGGCAGATTCTTCCCATCTTGGTGCATAAGTATTGCTCTGCACGTTCTACAACTGTACAACTGTTTCACTGTGCCAAAATTGCAGACCATTATTGGTTGTTTATTGGCACAAATAAAGGCTTCATGATGATAGCTTGTGATGCGACTTTATTCTGAAGCAGCATCTCTGCTCTGGATTAACTCTTGGCACGGAGAAAGCGCCACGGACCCTTTCCGTTTTTGTCCACAGGCGGTGCTGTTCTTCGTGTGCTGCTACTGTGCCAAGTTTTGCCCGTCGGTGCTGGTCGCCCTCGCCTGCTTCACCCTCGCCCTCGCCCGCTGTTGCCGGGCCAGCGGGCTGGAACCCTGCTGGCCGCACTTCGGGCCGGGGTAATCGCCGTCGTCAGTTGCTCTGTTCGTTTCTTGGTGCGTTCAAAAGGGTGGTCGATCGCTCCTAGGCGACTGCTGTCGCGCTAGAAGAGGCAGTCACTTCCATCCTTCTTTTGAAGATAAAGGAATAGTAAAGTAAAGGTGTGCACAAATAGTTTTAAACTTGCAGTAATTTGCAAATGATGTTCGCTACTCGGTTTGATTCTTGGCGAGCTTCTACCGTTTGAAGTATTCGAGTTTTTCTATCGCGTGCTGTAAACGACTTAGCTTTTGTGAGTACATAATTCTCCCTAAGTTTGAGACTCAAAAAATATTGCAAAAAATTGGTTTCGTGAATGTGTCATACCTTCAAGTCGCCAAGTTTTGAGCCCGCAAAATATTCTCAATCTCACGCTTTCTGAAATTCGCGGAATATTGAGACGCGTAAGGAAGGTTGCTTACTGTTTTCAAAAAATTATAAATGATGCAATTTTCCGAATTCTTGAGGTCATACTTCGCTGCTTCAGACCAGAGCGCTGGCATCAAGCTTCATCGCTTTGCACTGGCGTGCTGGGAGAAACAACTGAGGGGGTCGGAACATCTCAATTGGCTCTATGATCTCTAAAAATTTTCTCCATTATCAAGGTCAGTTTTCCTTGGTTGGAATAGTAGTTTGGGACAGAATTACAGTTTGGCACCTGATTTTGTAGGACAGTGCTGGAAAAGAAAACCTGCAGCTGTATTGAAATAATTGAGGTAGTCAATGCTTTGCTTGCAATGGCACATTATGTTTTTCCCAAATCGTCTTATCAGGGCCTTTTTTTACTTTATACAGCGTGCAATTGTATTTTATGTAATAAAACTTTTTTTTCATAGCCATGCTTTAAGAAAAAAATTTCCAGCCATGATTTATCAAAGTATCCAAAATATGTAAATTCTAAATTATTTTACTTTGATTCACATTTATAGGCATCTGCCAATAGTATATTTTGATTTCAAAACAAATTCAAAATGAAAAGTGGTTTTAGTTGAGTATTTTCCAATTGAATCTTGAATAGTTTCTACTAGCCTCTCACTACCGTGCACCAGGCTTAAACGAAAGTTCTACTGAACTCGCGAAGGTCATCCAAACCTTCCACTCGTCCACTTCTACTAAGCTCAGTTAATATTGGTAAAACTATATTTATGAACTGTTGCATGTAAACACAAATTTGTCACAGCTAACCCAATCATGAATCTGCTTGGCAAGTTTGTTTTTTTTCGATTTCAAATGTGACAAAGGAATGAAACAAACTTGATCATGCTGACAAAGACTGGTAAGCACAGAATATGTGATAGGCTTTCCAGGGAAGAAGGGAAAGATTTGCTCTCATTTCTGACACATGCCATGAGAAGGTGCAGCACGACAGGAAAGACTGCAAAGTGCGCCACCACACATTTGCACGCCGCGTGAATGACTTTGTTATTGCATGCACGGACCCCTCACCCTGGATAGCTCAGTCAGCAAAGCGCTTGGCTCACAAGCTTATGGTGGCGAGTACAACTCCTGCCAGGGGACAGAAGTCTTTTTATATGTTTCCCTATGGGTCCAACACTCTTCGATGTCGGCTGTTAGAACCAAACTTTACCAAACCAAACCAAACTCCATGGAAGTTGGCTGATAAAACACGTTCTGTGTTAAAGAAAGTGTGAATGATGAATGCGGGTTGTCAAGACATCGCTGCCTAACATATGCTTTTGCATAATTGTGGCGGGTGAGCCCCGTTGAGTGCGCTTCTCATTGAGCACTTGTGCACTGCGGGACAGCGCAATTGCTGCGGAGCCTGCGAGCTCTGCGGGTATTGCTTTCCCGCGGTGCACAGGTGCTGGGTGAGAAGCGCACTCAACGGGGCTCACGCGCCGCGATCAACACTTCGAAAAGTGTGAATATCGCTATTCATCTCAAAGTTCATCTCGAAGCGAATATAGAAAGCCAATATTCGAAAATTTGAATATTCACACAACACTACACATTCAAAATTTTATATTTGCACACCTCGATTAGAGTAAAACTAAACAAGAAAATTAAATAGTGTGACTGGTCTACCTTGTACCCCAACTAAAAAAAGAAAAAGTTCAGGTGTAGAAGTAGTGTTACCTTCAGCATGAGCAGTACTAGTATTTCCCAACAGACACCTAGGTAAAGTGCAACAGTTCAATATTTGTGAAAACTCTTCCAAGAATGAGTGTATTTTGCTGAAAACATGCGAGATGACCAACTCGCTCAAAACATCATTCTCGTCCCTTTTTATTTCGTCAGGACGAAATCAGCAGACAGTGATCAAATCCGTCTGTCTGGCCTAGCACTCTGCCAAAACCTGGCAGCCTTCCTTCTAGTCCTGTATTTCGGTGAGTATTTGCTTTCATTCCTGCCATGTCGTTTTTTTTTATTAGGGTTTATTTGGTGCCTTACTTCGGCGCATGGTGAGAGCCATGCTGAATTCAAATGTGCAGCAATATGGTTTCACAAACACTTTTGTTGGAGTAACTTATTTAGTGGTTCGAAACAAAACGATTCACCCAGCACTGAACCTGCTCGATAGCAGTGCCATAGTCAGTGATGTGATTGCTGCGCCATTTGCGCCAAACTGCGCCAAAGCGCTTACCCTGCTACATCCTGCTACATTTTACCAAAACGTGAGAAATTTGCGCCAACGTTGCGCCAAAACTTAATTACACTTTAATGATACTGAAAATATTATAGCTCGGGCCTCGCTGCTCGGCCGGGCCGTTACGACATCCTCGGAAGTTTCGCAATAATTCTTTTCGTCGTCTGTTCTGCTGGAGGATTAATTGGTCTGGTCGAGTGCGCTTCTCCTCGCGCACTGGTGTACTGCAGAGAAGCGAAAACCGCAAAGTAAGCATCGCGAGTTTGCCTGTCTTGCTTCGCCGCAGCGCACCACCGTGCTAAGGAGAAAGCACTCCTCCAGAGCGAGACGCATCACAATTCCAGTATACAACTTTGGCTCGTATAAATGAAAGACTACGATATCCTGGCAGTACCGTTTTCCAAATCGAGACTTAGCAAGGATACTTTGGTATTGTAAGGACATTTATATGCGCTCTTTCGTATGTTTATTTATTTATGCCATCCAATTTGTTTAGCTATCACTTTTATATAGGTGTGAGTAAATTAGAACTAAGTTGGCAGGAGCAGTGAATGGAAGCTCGGGAACAACCTTAATGAGTTCGGCGGGATTGTCTTTAAAGTTTTGTTGACATACCGTTTTTGTTATGAAGTTCTACCCGAAAAATGTAATTGACGATCATTATCAAATGACAAGTGCTTTGGTTTTTATCTGAATTATTAATTGCTGTTTTTGTACAACCTTAAGAACTCGAAGGAACCATTAATTTATGGGATCTATATTATTGTATTATTTCAGTGAGATTCAGTACCTGAAATAACAATTCACAGCAGTTTGTGCTGTCCCTCTTCACTTACCTTCTTACCGTGTCTGGTGCTTCTCCACGCAACTAAACGCTAGTTTTGTGTTTGAGGGACTCACTCCTGTTGTGCAATTGATGCGAACTAAGGGTTTCACATAAGTGAGAAGGCAATGTAGATATTGCCTTTTAGTTGGACGCGCCGACAGAATAATCTTCACAATTTCTGCATTGGTATGAATAAGAATGATGCTACAAAAGTTATTTTTGCTGCTCCAAAATTGACTTTTGGCTGCTCCAAGAGCTGCTCCAAAATGACTCGGACCAATCACATCACTGCATAGTGCTCTGGCTTCACCTAAAGAAGGGCAACATGGAGGGACATGTATGCGTTTGGCCGAGATGTTCGGTCAGTAAGAGCACCGGTCCCAGCTGGTCGCTGATGCAGCAGTAATATCTAATCTGTGCGCTGTTGGCCTTTAGGTTATGCCCAAAATTCAGCTCTTCAGCCTTGTTATTTAGGAGAATCTGGCTGAACGGAGCGTGGGCATTGTGAAGACATGGACTGTCTCCCTCTCTTTCCCAGTTGTAATTTCTATGGGATTCGTTCATCGTTCCAAGCCCCTGTGGAAGCGGAACCCAGCATCAAACCGGTGCTGGCTTTTCACCAGCCTTGCTGTGTGAGTTGGTCATCTTCTGTTCATGCTTGCCTACAAATCGCTGTGGAAAAAGAGAACTGTGCATGCATAGGAACTGGATTTGCCAGGATGTAAAAGCAGTTATGCTTTGTTAAAACAGCAATCGGTGCTTACCTCTTCAGGGCACCTTCCTTTCTACACTCATTTTCACATTAAGAACCATAGTGAAAACATTTGGCTCTGCTGAGCACCAAGGCATTGATATCCCTAGGACATCATGGCCAGATGTGTAAGACATCTTAGACAGACAGAAAGACATATTATAAAAGTCTCATAGTGACATCTTCTAGACCTCTAGATAAAGATTTTTTCTAAACCTTAAGCTCACTGTGTTTTATGTCAGGTGTCCATTAATGCTCAATTTTGTGCTAAACACTCCCTAGCGTGCTCATTATTGCTTATAAGCTCGGTAGGCTTGATCGCTGCTTTATTGCATCGATGTCAGGACCGGAGGATGTTCGTTGGCAATCAATGAAAAGAGATGTGCTGTCCTCAAGATTGAGAAGTTTGAAAACGCTCGTTCTAGTCTAGAAAAGATGTCTTGCAAATGTCTTGTAGATGTCTCGATGTCTTGTAGACATCGATACATAACAAGCTTAAAAAGGACACAACCCAAAAATCGAAATTTTTTTCAAACTTTTCTTGATTGTACATTGAAAGTTAGCCCACTCCATAATTTTACCCGTTTCGCTCTCGATATTAGGTGGGCTATCTCTTGGGATTGTACGGTAGATGTCTGTATTGCAGATGTCTTGTAGATATATCTTGTAGACGTCTAGTTGTTTTGTAGGCAGCCCTGTACTAGAGGCCTCAAGCAGCCCAAGACCCATCAGGCTCGTTCCGGCTGTCTCAAGACACCTTGTGCTCGGCGGGAAACGTGACGTTCAGACGGTGCCGCTTCCGCTTGCAGTCTATTGCTCCAGCTGGGCTTCTGCGCCGCCAACGTGTCGGCACGTGCCTCCACCCTCGTGTCCGACCTCCTACCGCTGGTGCCCCAGTACGTCTGGCTCACCGGCTTCCTGTGGACATTCCTCCTGGTACCGCTCAATGAGCTCGTCAAGATCCAAGAGATGAGGCAAGTCATGAGCAAAGCGTGACGGGATGCCACGTAAACCGTCGCGTAACATGCAACTTGTACTTCAGAGCACAATCTGTACAAAACGACGACGGTGATCGAGAAGAAAGAACAAAGTTCCGAACGCGCCCCCAGCGGGAATTGAACCCATGACCCCCATGATTACGAGCCCAGCAGCCTATCACTGCGCTTAAGGGGCAGTGGTGAATGCAAATGCCAAATGCCAGCGTTCGGCATTCAAACGCGTTCGGGCAGCGAGTAGAGATCTCTGCGTCTGCCTACTACTCATTCCAACCAGGGCTCGGTGCTCGGACGTCCCCGCGTGCTCTGGTCTCCTCCTCCTCCCTCAGTTCGTTTGTATGACCAAAACAAATGAAAAAAAAAAAGGAAAAATTGCCGCGAAGTTCGCCGCAAGCTCCAATAAATGCCGCAGGTATATTATCTGTACTTAGGCAAACAACTTTTTGTCCGACCTGTTAAATGTCTTTGTGCATTGGCCATTGGTACAACATAGGTGTATCTAGAATTTGGCACTAGTGCATTTTACAAGTCATTCATCCCAAGAATGTTCTGTGGAACGAAACAACACCCTCTGGCTTTTGTGGTTTCCGTTGCTAACGATCGTATGTTTAAAAATGCTCTTAAAACCCTTTGAAAATGGATTCTAAAGTTCTTGCCTATGCGCAAAAATGTGCACGCCCCAAGTGATATCTCTATCTATTACATTTTTTAGTAGCTACAACTTTATTTGCACCATGTTTCGCCTTGTGGGGTCTATTTACAATCCAAATTAAACGCTCGGCGCACACGCTACGTTTGAGATGGTCGCTTCACGTGTCGGGTGCTCTGCCAGAAGTGGTCCATGATGCACGAGCTTTTCCGGTTCAGACTTCTAACGTTTCTCGCAATTGAATCGAGGAGATGAGAGTTCATCCTCCTGTGGAAAAGCTCCAAAAGTACTTCCGGTTCGAAGTCCGCTGGAACGTGACAGAAGCAGACGCACCAAAATGAAACCGAATGGAAGAAAGGAAACAGCTTCCTGCCCTCCATGTTTACATTCAATGCTTTTGAACCTGGACAGCTCGCAAGCACTGGAAATGGTGCCGTTAGATCGTCTTTAGGAAAATTTGAGCATTGATCTATTCTCTGTACTATCCTTCTGGAAACAAAACCTGAACGCCAGGGCACATTTCCTTTTAAACAAAGCTCAACCGCCAAAGGGTTCATGCTGTTGAGCCACAATGAACAGTCTATTAGAGCGTCTGGCTTTTCCTTGAGATCTTTTGTTATACTCTATCGTGCCCCTCTGTAAGGCCAATGGCCCTTACGTTATCTACATAAATAAGCAAATAGCAAATAAGCAGCATATATATATTATGTACTACACTTGCCTCATTGTTGAGGTGGCAGAGCATACATTACAATCCACTTATAACGATACCACATAAAACAATGTGTTGCTTATAACGATCAGTTTCTAGAGTTTCCAGACCAGAGACAATCAGTTCCTAGTCCAGACACAGCGGTAATCAGTTTAAAATTTCAGGTTTTCTCGTTATTGTTATAACTGCGTTATAACTTGTTATAAGTGGATTGCACTGTAGTTGTTACCTAGTGCAAGTTTGGATGGACGTACCTTTTCGTGCAGTCTAGGACAATTTTCATTCATTCTTTCGTTGCAGGGCGAATCGCCGTCAACAAAAACGGGCACGCCTCGAGTTTGGCACGAAGTTGGGAATGAACTCGCCGTTTTGAGCAAGACTCCACCGTCGAGCATCCCTTGGCAGGCACGTTGCACCCACTCCGCTCTCAAAGTCATCGTCAAAATCGACCTTGCGGGTGCAGCGATGAGCCCACTTTTTTTTTTAACCTACAGACTGTGGGACTCGCTGAACTCAGCCTTTGTTCCAAGCACCAACAAAGAAAAACCAAACCATAATTGGGGGAGGTGGCAAGTACATACCAGAAGCCACAGCATCAAATTTTAACTCTTTGCCAAACAACTATAATTATAATCGACCTTCTCACCAGCATTCACTCTGCTAAAGTGGAAAGAGGTGGGAGGAACTTCACGCAAACTCTTAACCCGCCATTGACAGTAGCGTGTTGTCATTCGATTTTTTTCCTTGTATTTTTATGGGAAGGTCTTTTTTTTTAGATTTAAGATTAAAAGGCATCTCGCTGTGGCACAAAGTACAAAGAAATGCCTAAAGCCACAGTCGATGCTGCCTTTAGAAACTCGTGCAAAGAATGTGGGTAGCTAGCAACGGTGCTTCCGTCGCAAAAGGTCTCAGCGAAATCGCAAACTGCGAATCATTAGCACAAGCATTAAAAAGAGGATGGAGGAGATGCATTTGAAGTTTGTGATGAAATTATGCTTCAGTAGACTATGTATTGCTGTTATCCAGTCATCTAACAAAACATGCCCTGATGATTATGATGAGGAACAGCGAAACAATAAGACATGGGTGGAATGAGGGACGACGTCCGCTTTCTTTCAACTAGCAACAGTAAAATAGAGCCACAGCAACCTTTTAGAAATCACGCCACAGTAAAAAAACAACAAAAAAACATGGAGATATGGCAAAAAAAGAAAAGAGAGGTTATTTTGAAAATTTAAAAGATTAAAAGAAAGGATGACTTGATTGTAAAAGGCTATATTACCTCCTAAAATTATGACCAAATGGCTATGTCAACTCCGTAGACAAGGACGCAATTTCATCTCGAGTTAAAACGAGTTACGGAGCAGAAGCATTGTTGTCAGCTTTGTTCATGGTGAGTGATTCTACTATCTTTCTGCCCAACCTGCCATGGTGGCCTCCTATGATGCTGGTTCGCTCAAAACATGGAATGCAACCACTGGCACGAAGGGGCATGAACGACAAGGTGAGCCCGCAAAAATTCTAAATGATGTTCCCAAAGTCAGTTGTTGACGCACTTTCTCGTTTGCCTTAGGTTATTTGTCCCCACAACCTAATGGAACAGAATAAACTTTCTTCTCTTCGCATAGGACAAATTTGTTTGCGTGCTTGACGGCGCATTGCTGCGGCTCCTCGTCATTGTTGACTCTTTTACAGCGCTGTTTTAAACGCATTCTGAAGGAAAATGCGACGTTTGTGTTGAACCTAGTGGCAGTGGCCTTCAAACAGCTAGGTGCGTCAACTACAGACTTGGGGAACATCAGTCGGAATTTTCACGTTGGTAGCGATGGGTTTCATGGTTTCAGGTCCTTGAAAAGCTTGACATGTGTAACCTTTGAATTTTTTGCTTTTCGAGAGTCTCGATTTAAAGGTATGGAACAAATGTGTTTGTTACTATTCGTATTGCACTTAGAAAGGTCTATGTGGAATGGTCTATTTTAAGCTGGGCCTTGACATTGGTGTCTTGCCATCTCCCCAAGAAAAACCAGCCCAAGTGTTCTCCTGCATATGTACAATTTTATTTACACAAGGTTCACCACAACTGACGATATGAGTTATCGTGGCAACGAAGAGTATTTACAAGGGTTCGAAGTTGTCAACAGCATACTTCGGCAAACTTTGGTATATCTACGGTTCTTGACAAGGCCTCCCACGGCACACGGGAAGGCGACACCTTGAGAACTCGGCAAGGTTGTCAGGTTGTGTAAGTGTTGGAGATTCGAAGATGATGGCCTAGTGGGAGGATGTGACACTCTAAAAGATAAATAAAGAAATGCCCAGAGATGGGCAAGCATAAAACATGGCTGGTGTGTGAGGGAAATTCAAGGAATATCATGAGTGACTCGGTGATAAATATAGAAATGTGGGGGAACAATGGATCACCTGAAGTGTAGGAACAAAAACGAAGCACCTTCACAAAACGTCCGCCGACACAAAGCTCTGGAATACTGGGGGGTGGGGGAAACACTGAGGAGACACTTCGAAAACGAACACGGGAGAGGACTGTCAGAGTTCCGCCAACCGCACACGGAACGTTCCGAAGGTGCTCAAAAAGATGCTGCGATGCTGCAAGTTCCGTCTTCCACCGGAACACTATTAGACGATTCAAAGGTATTTGTTCACAGTTAAAAACACTTTTTTTTAAAAAGACTAACAAGGCATGGCGAGGGGTCGATGACGGTCGGTACCTAGTACATGTCCATGCTGGTTTTCTTGCCGAGGTAGGGGGCAGTACGCTTGTAATTCGTGGAGCTCCGCGGCGATCCACGCCGCGAGAAGCCCGAGTTTGTCGTGCCAGTGCTGTGACCAGAGTTGTAGCCGGAGCCCGAGCTCAAGGTCGCAGACCGCTGGTATGGCTCCCGCTTGGCGCACGCCAGCACGTGGTCCCTGAGGTATGTGCCGACCTTGTGCGTGCAGGAGAATGCCACGAAGATGAAGAGGCCTTCCAGCGTGTTGAGCACCACGAAGAGGTACCAGAGTACCTCAATGTCGAGGTACCCCGCGACAAGCCCCAAGGTCCAGGACAGCCCCATCATGACTGAGAGGCGGACGTAGAGACTGAAGTTGCGCCGCGCCGCGCTTCCAGACCGCTTAACACTCGTCTTGGTCGACCCGATCACCATGACGGCCGTCGATGCGAAGAGGATGACGTTGACCAGCATGAGTGCAGCCGCCGGTCCAGCAAAGAACACGAGGAGGGCCTTGCGCTGACCAAACCAGCAGCCGTGACGACCGAAGAGTGGCCGGAAGTCTTCGGGGATGCCGGTCGAACGGGCGTCGAAGAAGACCGCCAGCCCGACCACAACGGCCGGCAGAAACCAGGACGCAATGCAATAGACAAAGAAGCGGCGCCACTGCGACCCTGAGCTGACCCGCAGCTCACGGGTGGCGACGCGCAGAGTCCTCCAGACGTCGAACGCCATGGCACTCATCCAGAAAAACGAGGCAAGGAAGAAGTAATAGGTTGTGACGCCCAGCGCCTGGCAGGCCTGCGCGCCGACTTCGCCGAGCTGGCCAAGGAGGAAGCAGAGGTAGGCCGCAAGCAGCGAGAGTGCCAGGCTCGCCAGGTTACGGCCGGAGAGGTTGCGGACGTCCGGCACGAGTGCGAAGACGGCGAGGTGTGCCACCAGGCAGGAGATGGACACGCCAAGGCCCACGGCAGACACGTATCCCATCTGCGCGGAGAACTTGGAGATCTCATTGGAGGCGTTAAAGACGACGCACACGAGCGCCCTTGAATCTGCTGCACCGAGCTTGAAGTTGCCCGGTGTGAAGTCACGGTCGTAGCGCGGGGCGTAGAGGTTGCCGTTTGGGCGCAGCAGGTACTCCCCCTTGTCCAGGACCGTCTTGCGGCAGCCCAGGAACTGTGCGGACAGTGTGGTTCCATTGGGGCCATCGCTCGCGGCAGCCGAGAGGTCGTAGTCATCGAGCAGGAAGCACTTTCCGTCCCTGAGGACGTAACCCTCGACGCCGCAGAGCACGCTGCGACAGGTCTTGTAGAAAGGATCAAAGACCTCGTCCCCCTTGCAGAGGGTGTACTTCCCCACAATGTTCCCACCCGCCGGATTGACGTCCATGAGAATGCTGAAGCTGAACGACCTCGAGCTCACGACGCCGTCATCGTCGTAAAACCCGCAGCTCTGCGGCCCCTCCGTCACATTGTTGCACACCATGCAGTGTTCGTTGCGGTAGTTCCAGGTCCGGTACGCCACGACTGCGGTGTATGACTGACACTGCTGCTCCACATCGCTGCCAGACCACGACGGATCACACGTTGAGATGGGGGACATGCACGAGTAGTCGCTCGAGAGGTTACCCGTCCGGTACTCCACGCCACACGTCACAAAGATACGGCCCTCCCCTTCCAGCGCCTCGGTCCAGATGCCCCAGCCCTTCTGGTCAGGGCTCAGTTCAATGTTGTCCTGCAGGTAACTACTGTTCACCTGGCCGGCAAGCTCGCTGCAGTCCAGCGAGACGGTCCAGCGGATCGCGCCATCCATGTCGTCGTTACAGACGGCGCAAAAGGTGTTCCAGTAGGACACTCCAGTCCTCGAGGAAGTCACAGGCACCATAGTCTGTGGGTCCACCGCCTTGTTGCCGCTGTCTTCACACTTGCTCCGGATGGCTTCTGAGCCGGACCAGTCGGGCTTGCAAGCCGCCTTGGTCCATATTGATTTCTTGTTGCGGTCTGCAAGGACCTTGGTGCACCTCCACTCTTGGCGCTGGGCGGCGGAAATCGTAAGGGCGGGAGCGTCGCGACAGCAGTCCCCGAATTTCACGCACTCCGCGTCGCATCTGCAGATGGCGGTCCGTTGGAAAGGGTCGTGGTCTGTTGGCAGTGTGCTGGGCAGTGTGGCACACGTGGTGTTGCACTCAAGCTTGGGCAGTTCCGGCGGAAGGTCCGACTGGGATTGGCACGGGGATGTGAGGAAGACTGCAGCTACGGCCAGGAGGACCACGATCTTGGGCAGTCCGTCCATGGCTCCTGCATCGTCAGAAGAGAGAAAGGGAATATATGGTAAACTAGCACGGTCAACCTGGATAAAAAAAAAATGAAACTTTCCTACTTCAGCCTGTTCCAAAAAAGTATTTACAGGGTATTTTTCACTGCAAAAATAAAGTATGCATTGCTGAATGCTCAATCTCCGCCTAAATGGAATGCTAGTGGTTCGGACCAGATGCCAAAATTTCAGAACTGTTATCTCATTCAAAAGTTACTAGTGATTTTCTGAGACTTTCCACGGGAAAATGGGGGCATATTCTCGGTAGTTAGCATCATTAAGTTCCATGTATTCGTGGTCGTTGTTGGCCATCATCGTACCATTAGGAAATCTCAGAAAAACGCTTATACCTTTTAAATAAGATAACAGTTCATTACGAAACCTTGTCATCTGGTTCAGACTGCCAGCGGCCCATTGGGGTCGAGAGTGAGCGTTCCACGATGTATAGTTTATTTTTGTTATTTAATGAAATAAAAAAACACCTCTTTTTTTTTTTCTTTTTGTCGGGGAGGGGGCGGGGGGGGGGGGGGGGGGGGGGGGAGGCGATGTTGTGCATTAATTAGTGCATTTACTTTGCTTCTGAGCAACGCCCGTGCTCAGTGGAAAGAAGCTGTTGGTCCACGGAATCTTTGAATTGGTGCTTTCTTATTCGTTTCGTATAACCTTTTTTCTGACTGGTTGGCTCATGAAAAGCATCACATTTGTTGACCGAGTGCCACTTCCTGCATTAAAAGAAAAAAGGCATGTGGGCGAGGCTTTTAAGTGCACCTCTTGAGCCGAGGGCAAAGGTCGGTCTTCATTCTCGGAAAGAAAAGGAATCTGGGTCAAGCCAACTTTAGACGTGTGTACTTTTGTTCCTTTTTTGCTTCGCTTTGTTTTCTACTTGCCCATCCTTCAAATCTGCAAAGAATCCCTCCAAACTTTCATAACAAAAGAGAAAATAGGCGACTTACGCCTCCCGCGTATCGCTGCGACGTCCCAAGCGGGCGCAGATCAAAAACATAAAAAAAAAAAAAAAAAAAAAAGTAAGCTTCCTAAAACTCACTTCTGGATCTCAGTATGTACAAAAAGAAAGAAAACATCCGAAAAATATTCACAAGCCCACCAAAGTGGCCATTCCATCCCCTCCTACTACGGACCCCACCGCTTCTCCTACCACGGACTTCACCGCCCTCCCCTGTCCCCCCCCCCCCCCCTTAATAAAAAAAAAAAAAAAAGAAGAGAAGAACGAACTTTCTCTTGCCTCAGCTTAGACACGCTAGCAGACACTCTCTCTCTCTCTCCACAGCCCGAAAGCCCAGAAGAACAAACAAACGAAAAGATGCGTTACAGCATCCTGCCGTATCCGGCTCCGCTCGGCGGCCATATGCTTGTTTGTTGTGCTGGGGAAGACGGCCATTGCTTGAGCAGTCTTCCCCAGCTTTTAAAAACTGGGATGAGGTGGAGGGAGAATCCTCGACTACACTCAAAACAAAGAAGAAAAAAAAAAAAAGGGGGGGGGGGGGGGGGGGGCGGCGTTTTGGTGAACTTTATTTTTCCTTGACCGGAGTCGGCAGCACCCCAAACGCTAGTGCAACGTTGCGTTGTTGCGGATGTTACGAAAAACAACGGCCCACATTAACTGAAGAGCGTGTTGGGTGGTAACATTGACTGGCAACAGAAAGAATATAATAAGATGATTACGGACATGGGGAAAGCATTTGACGCAACGCTTGTGTGCGTTTAAGAACGTATTTTGTGTAGTAGCGCCAGATGTGGCGGTTTTGACCACGACGTGGTCTTGACAAGGTCGAATCTGACACTTATGGAAAGAAGCGGTCCTGGGAGGGTTTTACCTAAGGTTGGTTTTACCGTACTCCCCTCCCCTCCCCCCCTTCTCCCATCCCAGCTGTCAGGGATTGGGCTTTCAGAAGGCTGAAACGTTGTCGTCGCGTGTGTAATGGAAGGCTATTTGCGCTGCGCGGCGACCTTGAATTCTGGACGGTCCTCCGTGCCGGGTTTTACACGACAGATTAGATAAAAAGTTGGGGCGATAAAACCCAAGTCCAACTGGTTTAGGATGGCAAATCTGAAGATCGGGTTATTGTGCCCGGTCACGGAAACATTGCTAGACGAGGTCGTACTTTTTTAAAAAATGCGGAAACTTTTTTTTTTTTTTTTTGTGTGTGTTTTTTTAATGATTCGATATTAAACGTTTTTTGCCTTCTCATTCTGTCCTGCGTGCCGCCATTGCTATATGCCTCGCCGTGGAAAGCGTTCTGAGCATGCGCACAGCGAAGTACCGGACACAGCCGCGCATGGTCACACAACTCAGTGACTCGGCATTTTTCGCCCGAGTGTAGTAAACAAGGAAAGGACCAACGCTATCAGGCTTTAGTTTGAGTTTATTTGCGTGCAGAGTGTGAATTCGCTTGGCATCCTGCGATTTCTTGCCAATGTGAAACCAAAAACAAATAAGCGAAGCAACACTGAAAGACCCAGTGCTGGGTAAAAGAGCAGGACTGGTTTAGTTTAGTGTGCTTTTAAATTATGATTTTTTTTTTTTCTTTTCGCCGATAAATCGTTTAAATGCGTGATAGATCGCTCGCTTCCACGAACAAATGTGTTTCACAGATTCAGTTGTAGGGTGTTGCAACAAGGCCCCGGACCGGCAAATATGGTGCTATTCGTTTAAATGTATGATAAATCGCTTGCTTCCACGAAGGAATTTTTCACAGATTCAGTTGTAGGGTTAGCAGGGTGAGAAGTTAAAATTGCATGTACGCCCTCAAACGGCGCGGTATACAAATAAAAATAATAATAAAAAAAAAAAGTGCGGACCGCAAAAAGTTAATGGCGTTGGTCACTCGATGTGGAGCTCCTCTCAAATTCTTACCGACCAGTGGCAGCCCGGTAGCACATAGACGCCCCAGACCAGTGACACCCCGGTCCGATGTGTTTGTCTGTGTTTTCATGCCGTCAGCGCTCGGCCTGTGTGTTCCTCGTTCTTTGTCCTCCGTACTATCGGCGCTGTTTCCCTCTTCATAGCTATGCATAACCAACTTGCCCAACTTTGAACGGAGCCCAATAAAGCAGATATAAATAAACAGAAGCCGAGCATGACGGACTGGAATCGACAGCAACATGGCAGGCAGGTTTACTTTATCTCTGAGAAATGAGGGCTAGACAAAGCAGTGCAGAACGCTAATGCCCAGTCCCACTTGAGCGACAAACAGTAACAACAAACAACGACCAAACTTAAGTACGTACAGCATGCATCCGAAGTACTCTTTTGCGGGCTTGCAGACTCTCCGGCGCTCTTGAGGAAAGCACGAGTGAGCGCGAGCCTCATGCACCTGCTTGAGATTGTTGTTTGTCGCTCAAGTGGGACTAGGTCCGGGCATAAGACCACGTATTTTCTGGCTTTCCGTTGTCGGTCGGTTGCAGTAAACGAAATGCAGAGGGCTTTCCTCCGAGCTGAGCGCACTGCGATCATATGAAAAGCCTCTTTTTTCTCACAGTCCGTCGTGCTTATTTTCCGGAACGACCTCGCCGTCTTGAGATGCCAGGAAGGAATAAAAACCCCTGCGGCGGCACGTGTCGACCGAACAAAAACCCTCGCAAAATCTAAAAGTAGTAAACGGTGATGACGCAACGCCTCAACAGCTCTCGCCATCGCCACTCACAACGCCGCGCAAAAACTGCGCATGCGCGTTTACCTGCGGTGTCGTACGGATTACGGCAGATTGTTACGCACGCAACGTCACGATCGCGGTTAGGCCGAAGGCCACAGCCGGCACCGTCGTCGCGGGTACACCGCCATTGCCGCCGGACCTCGAGAGATCTTCGGATATCCGAAAGTTCGCGTAAGGAGCGATGCAATCAACGGGCGAATGACCACTAGAAATGGGCTTGCAGCATGTTCACGCCAGGAATCGAACCCGTGACCTTGAGTGAAGGTGCATCGCCCGGTTTTGTCAATTTGGCATGTGGCGAGGAGCAAGTGGGGGAAATACAGCGACAGGTAGAGGGACACGAACACGAAGCGGACTGTCGCTCTCTTTCACGGCAACTGACCTCCGTGTGTCTGACCTCTGCGTGTGCTATTAGCCGGGCGAAGGAGTTTGAAAGAAGCGTAAGGTTAACGAGTCATTTGTATTTTGATGTAGCGCAACGGGGACGGTTTAGTAGATCGTTTTGATGACTCCGATAACTACAGACGATACCAGCGATACTCCGCCGCCGCCGTTGCACATGCATTGGGGCCCTAATCTGGACACTTGGCGAGAAAGACGGCGAGAAATCCGGCGGCTATGATTGGCCGGCGCCAAGGTCAAGTGCAGCGACGGCCAATCACGGCCACCAGATTTCTCGCCAACCTTTTCACCAAGTGTCCAGATTAGGGCCCTCGGTATCGTTATCGGGGGGTATCGGAGCGATCTAGTAATGGTGAATCCCACGGGTCGTTTTGGAGCGCGCCGGGATCGACTTTTCTGGAGCGCGCCTATTTCACACGGGATCTAGGGTGCCTCAATGAGCTTCTGTTTAGAGTGATGCCACCCTTTGTAGTACCCGATGCCGACAGCACGCGCTCACGGGGAAAATACAAAGAAATCGACGAAAACAAAATGTCGCCATAGCACAGTCAGCGCCACAGACGCGTGCAGGGAGTCAGGGACACGCTTTTTCACGCGCTTCTCAACAAAAAATAAATGTAAAAGTGGGAACAAAATGGCCAGATGTCTCCACCCTAAGCAAAGCGCACACGAAGGCACCCTAACGGGATCGTCGTTTTGGATTAGCTCCCACTCCAGATCTCGATCCGGATCAGAGAAAAGTCCCTCCGCCAAATTCGGCGGATTCGACCGGAAGCCATGGCCAGCGGTCGGTGCGCACACGTGACTTTCTCGCGGGGCATCTCGCCTTGGAATAATTCGTAATGGCCGCTCGCGAAGTGGCGGCCGCATTACTGCTACTGCTGCTTGATGACAGTTCGTCGTCAAGT